AAGTGTTTTTCTTTCTCCGTTCTATTAATTGAATAGAGTCTATTCGCATTCAAAATTAAAACCTACAAAAATACATAATATTATGCAGTATTATCAAATAAACCCTGCTAATCGTCAATCCAAAACAAAAGTTCAATACCTAACACTCTCGCAAACATAATATAGAAAACATAAATAATAAATTTATGTATGCCTAGTAAACATTAATAATAATTATGTATAATAAACATACATAATATTACTTCCGCAAATTATAGCACTTCTTTACCATCTCCCAATCGCATGAGTCAAGTATGATTTACTGCCGTGTCAAAAGCTATCACTGTATTACGAAACACTATTATATGACACGTAATCTCTGTTTATCAAGGATAAGCAGTTCCTCGGATATGACATTACTGACCTAATACTGTTGATTTCATTAGAAAAGTAGCTCTGTTATTTCTAATATTAGCCTACATTCTGAAAATTATTATGACATAGGACCTAAGAGTAAGATGACTATAATTTTATATAGTTTCTAAACGCCAATCCCAATATTTGAATTCAAACCTAGTCAACATTTTACTATGTCCTTCCCACCTGAAAATCCTGCACTGCAACTATGTATATTCAAGATCTTTGGACTCCGATGATGCCCAACCACTGAAGGCTGAGTTGAGTTGTTTTGGGAGATAGCTCAATAATGATATTGAGCTATCTCCCATAGATTTTGTATTTTTATTGCGCATTCTATGAAGAATGCGCAATAATAATACAAAATCTATACAGCCGAGCTTTACATGAGTGGTCTGCTGTACCCCATTTTTTTTTTCTCTATCTCCTAAACATGCTCTATTCACGATAGATGGAAAATAGAAAGATTTGCCTCACAATCTTTTAGAGGTCAGCTATACCATTACAATCAAATGCCGTAATGTAGCATAAGTATAGAGCAATTTGTAAAATTACATAATACATAGACGTCAAAACAATGGTAATAAAATTGATTCTTGTATCTGCGTACGGTTACTCGAGTAGTATGTAGTCCCCAGCACATCAAAGTATACATTTTTATTGCAAAATCTACCCTATTACAACTGAATAAAGTACTAAAATGTGTAGCTTGATATGCTTTCGTCCGTATTTGTCTTGCCTTAGGCATATCCACGTCTATTATTGGGGTAAATGACATCCGATCAATGGGCAACTTTTTTGTGCATCGCAAATTATTTTTAGACTATAATTTGAAGTCATTCAATACCATCAATAAGGCATGCATAAACATAGTATGTTTAGCATACGTGTCTTATACAGCATGGCAAATTAGCTTTGAAAAATATTCAACTTGTCTATCTTAGCTAGGCAAACGCAATGATGAAGAAAATTTAAATACAGGGGGTGAACCTCCACAAGAGCAAAAACTTTTGCTATGAAAACGACATCAAAATAATATACTTAGTACTTACCTATTATTTGTGTAGTAATGAACCCTTTTCGTTCACACATCCATTATCTATTCTGTAGCTTAGGTATTAGCAAATATTCACGATATTTGTGGATGATACGCGTGATTTTTAGCATATAAACCTCCTAAACAACAAAAAGAAACGAATATAATTAATTCGCCACGGTTTAGCTGGTGATAAACATATGCCTCCCGCGTGATCGAGCTGGGAATTGAACCCGGGGTCAGTGTCACTGCAGCCGATACTTAGCCTAACAATAGGAGATAAAACCCGGATGTGTAAGTTTCTTATTTCTTACACAATTGCTATTATAGCAAACTCCTGATAAAAGTTCGATCAAGTAATTATTACTCATCTAGGGGCAAATGGCCTATAAACTGTCTGGAAAACTAAGTGAGTCAGGAACGAACGAGACCTTTCGCATGATGCATACTTGGATGTGGATATGTGTTTCGTCCGATAAATTAAGGTTAGTCATATGAAACATCTAAACTGCATTATAAGTGGTGGTCGTGGAAATTTACAACGAAATATTAAGATGACACTAGGGCTAGGATCAACAACATTAGCACTAGGGCTTTTTAGCCCTAGTGCTAGGAAATTTTGTGGTGTTCCCCAGAAATCTCCTCAAAATGATGCTTTCTCTTTCTAGATCCACAATAATTCACACTATTCCAAAATTCCTAGCCCTTAAATAAATCAGATCATTTGCAATCAGATTAAGTATAAAATATTTACCAAAAGCTTGAGGCTTTTGCAGAACATTCACGGATAAACATATTATTGAAATGCATATAAATATCATGTAGGTATGGCACTACGGTAACATGAAGAAACTTTTCAAAAATTTTGGTTTGTCCTGAATTTTTCTAACTCTTGGAGACCCTAGTTTTGACGGAAAAATTACGTACATTCTTTTTTTATCACTCTCACCTATAATTAGTTTATTGAACGAAAGGACATCCGCGGCAGACGTGATGGAAGCGTAGGAGGCAATAAGATAGATAACATTATTGTAACTGGCGCAGGCTACAGACGGGCAATAGCCTAGAAATTAACTTTCAGATCTATATACAGGGTGTTAGGTAAATGGGTATATGAGCCGACACTAGCCCATGTTAACGTGGGCATATAAATGGTATGGTGAAGTCAGAAATTTGATAGTTATCATCATTTTATTTTTTTAAATTTTCATACAAAATAAATTTTATAAAATCCGATTTGTATGAAAATTAAAATAATTAAAATGAAGATATCAATTTTCTGACTTCACCATACCATTTATATGACCATGTTAACATGGGCTAGTGTCGACATTGTCCGGTGAAGCTGAAAAAGCCGCTCACGGCTATCAGCATAGTCAGTCCGAAAAAAAAAAGGCTAGTGTCGGCTCATATATTATACCCATTTACCTAACACCCTGTATAAGTTACATGTTTTTATTGTTTGCTCATTTGAAAAATGCACTGTTTTTTCAGTTGAACAAATATATTTTCTACAAACTAAGATAAGGAAAAAGTATGATAATGGACAACATCTTGTTGGTTATCGTACCTACTTTAATAAAATATGATTATTTTATTTATTTAACCTCCTCTCAAAAATGAACCCAAGTAAGAGTATTTAGACGCAATTACATAAATAAACATTTTTCAAGAGAGAAAACGGATTTAATTTTCTCCTGGTGGTTAATATACGAAGCACCGCAAATAAAACACAATAAGAACTTTTCATTAAAAATAGGAATATGCAAACGTACAAAAAAAAGCATTCTTTTATTTCCAGAGTGTCTGTTATTTTAAGAAAACGTAAAATCTAACTTCTGGCTGAACGTAAAAGCAAAATGCCGGATTTATTCCGATACATGTGCCACGTGTGGTCCAAACTGAATAAATATTTTTGATTTTGATAAATATATGCTTACTTAGATGGTGGTGACGCTTGCTATTATACACAAACTTATTTACGCCCTTTGATCTGGAAATGAGTGCACATCTAAATTATATTTTTTATTATTTCTAATCAGGTGGCCATCTTACTAACCTAACCACTAGACAAAATATGAATATTCATGAAATTCCTAAATACGATGTTATTATGTCTAAAGGGGTAGACTGACTACAGACATCACAATATCACCCGGATGTGTATGAACAGCCAAACGGACGTCATTTTTATATCGATAACTGTGAAAAATTATTTATAAAATATGTTCACATTATGATTGATAAAATAATAAATCGATGTCGGTTTTGCTGCATCCGAAATACGAATACATCGATTACTGCAAATGTTTAAATTATGTACCTAATAAAACTGCACTTCTATTTGCTTCTACGCTATTATAAAGAGAAAACATTTAATTTTGATTGTATTTAATGGGCTTCGGAACTACTGGACCAATTTGAAAAATTCTTTCACGATTAGAATATTTCTAAGGACCTATACTATACATTACTTATGAGGAACATAGGCAGTTCGAAGTTCGCAGGGGCAGCTACTATTAATTATCCATTTATTTCATCCAGCGATCCAATTATTTGATTAAAACTCAATACTCACGCCCGTATTTACAAACATTACTATGAGGTCTCACAGTGCGCGTGGACGCACAGGGTGACACACAAACCAATCACAGAGCTCTATTCAACGCTGTGCGTTAGATTTGCTGCTTCACATAAGCAAGCATCGTTTGTGAATACGGGCGTCAATCTCTTGTTAACTATTTACTTTATTTATTATTATTTATCCATTATTGTACCTAAATGTTTTTGGTTGATTTTAAATAATATCAAGATTACACAGAGAATGATTTGATTAATTAAGTACAATAGGTAATTAAAAAGTTATTTTCCCTCTTGCCATTAATCTAGGCATTTACGAACAAATGAAATGCAGTCTCTTATCAAACATTGTACAGAGGAATCGACCGTAAACAGATAACATTACAATAAAAAAACGTCGCAATATCTTCAAGAAAATTAAACTACAGCACTATTACAACTCAGTTTTTTCCTTAATTAAAATAAAATGCAATTAAAAATGCAACACATACTCGTAATAATAAGTAATCGATTCTGTACATAGAGCCACAGAGCTCTATTTAAGTTTTACATTTTAGTACATTAAATCCAACCTACCTACAAAAAAACAAAAAACACCATGACATTGTTTTGGTAGATTTTCGTTTCAGACCTTTAAAAGTCTACAATAAAATTCTACATACTCGCAAAATAAATTAATTTGAATTTGAAAAACAAAACATCATATACAAAAAAACATCAGCAATCTCCAAAGGACAGGAGTCTTTATAATAAAGTGTCATTATAAAAAAAAAACGAAATGTATGAATCTGATATTTTTCTCTATTTAGAGATGGTCTGCACTTAATATTATTGTAAGGGAACTGCCTCCTGAACTTCTAAAGTGACCCTTATAAAACAAAAACAAAATAGTTTTTAGTCTACTGCTGTATGCAAGCCTCCTAAAGTAAGCACGTTCTCCCACTTTTTGTCATCCACTTCTCCTAATATTTCCCTATCCTTGTTTCAGTGGAGTACGTAGACGCAGAATACAGCCTGTGGCTAACCTGGTTCCTGACGCCAGTCATCGTCACCTTCCTACTGCCGGCCGTCATCATCATCCTCATATACATCAGCAGCATCATATTCCACCTTTACAGGCTATACAGGTATGGTAACCACATGGTTAACGTGATAAATCATTTAGGAACTGGGTCACAGTTTCCTGAAAATGTAGGTTAGATTCCACCAAAGAAGAGTAAATATTAATATCAGAATAAATCGTCAGTTTTGACATATTTCCCATACTGAAACTGTCAATGTGCCGGTTATACCAGGAGTATTCTCGGATAAAAGTTTGGTCGAATCGGGCCTGTTGTTGGTATCTAATAGATAATTCCAGGTCCTTGGAGCCGGATTCATTAGTAGTTTAAATTACTGAAAGCAGCATTTTTGTGTTAATTTTGATGTTACTGCGTTCTTTATAGTCAAGATAAGGTTCTAAGATAGTCAACTGTCTTGGTATCTTGATATTCACTGGTTGAGTTTGTTTTAAGACCGAACTGTTCATTAGTTGCATTGGAGGTAACGAGAGGTGGGATTAGTAGACCCATTTTATTTATCGATGTAATATTTATATTTGAGTATCGAAATGCTTGATGATTTCAGGTTACGAGTGGTGGCCGGCGTTCAAAATGACTGGAGGCACGCAGCGAGATTGGCAGTGTGCGCGCTATGGGACGCACACGGCTGGCTGTGGCATGGTGAGTGTCTTACTTTTTCTGGTATACCCTAGCGCCAGATTTAATAAACTCGTCAGACATGGCTTAATCGAATCTATGTCTTCTTTGGATATTCTGGATCTGGAGAACAAATACCTGCAATATCCAAAAACAGAAACAAAATATTCGTAGTGCTTTTACACAATGTGTATCCCATGATCTGAGAATTGAACACAGATCTCCAAATCCAGAAGTGGACAGGCTGTATCTTTCGCAAAACCGAAACACGGCAAAGTTAGTGTAGAATATTAATTTACTTTTGGACAAGGGCATCTGCTCGATGATGGAAGACCTCAAGATTACTGACAAAGATTGTAGGGTTTCTTGCGTCCACTACTTCCATGGACTCAAATGTTGATGATGACTCTCTTATTTTTCAGGTTACGACGTCCGAGGCCTAGAGAACATCCCAGACGGGCCGTTCCTTGTGATATACTACCACGGCGCGCTGCCCATCGACATGTATTACTTCATCGCGCACATGATGCTGTTCAAGCGACGGCTCGTGCACACAGTAGCGGACCGGTTTTGCTTCAAGATACCTGGTGAGAACCTATGTTTTTGTTCATTCGTTTCAGCCGAAAGACGTCCACTGCTGGACAAAGGTCTCCCCCATGGATTTCCACAAAGAGCGGCGCAAGAACGCCGCTCGCGTCCAGGCACCTCCCGCGACCTTCACCAGATCGTCGGTCCACCCATTTTTTAACCAGGGATATTAATGGACATACGGTAAACGAACTAAAGTCACTGACACAGCCCGACGGATTCCTTTATTGCAAGCTGAAGTGGCAATGGGAAGGGCACATAGCAGAACTGACGGCCATTGTACAGCAAGGTTCTGGAGTGGAGGCTACGTACGGGAAAGCGCAGCGTAGGACGTCCACCAACAAGGTAGACCGAAAACCTCATAAAGGTAGCAGGAAGGCGCTGGATGCAGGCTGCTACCAACCGGTCTTTATGGAAATCATTGGGGAAGGCCTATGTTCGGCAGTGGACGTCCTATGGCTGAAATAATGATAATGATGAACGGCCATACTCTTCATTCGATGGTAGACTGCGAGTTAAGTGGACAAGTCATTCAGAGCGACAGCTGGGTCTAAAATCGTTCGGGGTCTTAGATGGTGCAGTTTTCGCGTTTTCCTCATGGCTCCAGGATTTTTAAAGTCCTGACCCGATGTCTTCCCTAGCATTAGCGTATCTAGGGTTATTTTTCAGAGGGGGCCCTGTCACATTTTGTATTTGTAAGGTTTTCTCTGGTGGATACTAGACCATTCGGCCCCCCGCTATACAGGGTGTTAGGTAAATGGGTATATGAGCCGACACTAGCCCATGTTAACATGGGCATATAAATGGTACAGTGAAGTCAGAAAATTGATATCTTCATATTAATCATTTTAATTTTCATACAAATCGGATTTTATAAAATGTATTTTTAATGAAAATTAAAAAAAAATAAATGATGATATCAAATTTCTGACTTCACCATAACATTTATATGCCCATGTTAACATGGGCTAAACTGTCGGCTCATATACCCATTTACCTAACACCCTGTATACGCGCATGTTCCCTAGGTCAGGTGAGATGTGTGCTTACTTTTTAACAATGTTTCTATCCATTACCAGGCTGGAAATCACTCCTGGAAGGCTTGTGCGTGATTCCGGGAACGGTTCAGACGTGTGCGAGCGTGCTTCGCTCCGGGAGCCCACTAGCTATATCCCCGGGCGGCGTCTACGAGGCGCAGTTTGGAGACCACTATTATAGGTTGCACTGGAAGTCCAGGATAGGATTCGCTAAAGTCGCACAGGAGGCTAAAGTGGTGAGTGGTATTATTTTTTAGAACTAAAAAATGTTTCAAACACATCGTGGAAGCTCTTAACCTGATGAAATGGATCATACCAATGAAAGCGGGCTTTAGCCGGAATTAATTCAAGAACTGGCTATTTTAACTCCAACCGAAAGACACCAATGCCGTTTGTTAAAAATGTTAATATGAGGTCTTCAGATTTAGGTAAAATAGTGATAGCTAGCCACCAAAAAAATTTCGCTCCCATTGGGAATCAAACCAGTTATTTGTGTATATGATGTATATTGCTTTTTTGTTTGGTGTCCTTTTGTTTAGTTAACGTGCTTGCAAATGTTCGCGCCAAAGCTCACACAGAACGCAACGCCAGTACGTTTAGGTCGTCTAAAATCATCGATAAGATTAGCCAGTAATCACGCCATATCAATTTTTCCCATACATTTTAAGTATATCTAGCCCAGGCTTATTCCACTATTCCCCGTTGACAATCCTCGTCAACGGGGATTAGTGAACTTTTTGTTCACTATTTCCCGTTAACGCCAATTGGAGCTTATTATAAAGGGAAATAATGAACCAAAAAGTTAATTCCCATCCAATCCCAAAATCCCCATTATAAGCGCCAATTGGCGTTAACGGGGATTGTCAACGGGGAATAGTGGAATAAGCCCCCGGCAGGAGGGATACTAATTTGTCTTCTTAACATCCCACAGCCAATCGTCCCGATGTTCACTCAGAACGTCCGCGAAGCTTTCCGCACAGTCGGGTGGTTACGCGGCGTGTGTCTACGAGTTTACGCCGCGACACGCGTGCCGCTAGCGCCGGTTTATGGGGGATTCCCCGTTAAGTTGGTCACACACCTCGGCCCGCCCATACCGCACGATCCCCGCCTAACGCCCGCCCAGCTCCAGCAGAAGGTAGCTAAGTAGCCATACTGCCGGACACTTCCGGACACTTTAGCAATACTGCCGGACACTTTGGCGATACTGCTGGACACTTTGCCAAAAATTACGGATACTTCCGATCACTGGCGATACTGTCGGACACTTTAGTTATAGTGCCAGACACTTCCCCGTCAAGCTGGTCACGCACCTCGGCCCGCCCATCCCGCACGATCCCCGCCTAACGCCCGCCCAGCTGCAGCAGAAAGTAGTTATATTTCCGGACACTTTAACAGTACTGCAGAACACTGACAATACTGCGGACACTTCTAGAAACCTAGCAATATTGACGGACACTGTCTACACTGCCGGACACTTCCGGACACTTCGGCAATACTGTCGGACACTTGACAAGTAGTATGTAGTAACATTCCTTTAGGCTGCAACACTTCTTCCCCGTCAAGCTGGTCACGCACCTCGGCCCGCCCATACCGCACGATCCCCGCCTAACGCCCGCCCAGCTGCAGCAGAAGGTAGTTATACTTCCGGACACTTTAACAGTACTGCCGAATACTGACAATACTGCGGACACTTCTGGAAACTTAGCAATATTGACGGACACTCTCGGACATTGTCTACACTGACGGACGCTTTCGGACACTTTGGCAATATTGCTGGACACTTGACAAGTAGCATGTAGTAACATTCCTTTAGGCAGCAACACTCCTTCCCAGTCAAGTTGGTGACGCACCTCGGCCCGCCCATCCCGCACGACCCCCGCCTAACGCCCGCCCAGCTGCAGCAGAAGGTAACTAAGTAACCATACTGCCGGACACTTCCGGACACTTTAGCAATACTGCCGGACACTTTGGCGATACTGTCGGACACTTTAGTTATAGTGCCAGACACTTCCCCGTCAAGCTGGTCACACACCTCGGCCCGCCCATCCCGAACGATCCCCGCCTAACGCCCGCCCAGCTGCAGCAGAAAGTAGTTATATTTCCGGACACTTTAACAGTACTGCAGAACACTGACAATACTGCGGACACTTCTAGAAACCTAGCATATTGACGGACACTGTCTACACTGCCGGACACTTCCGGACACTTCGGCAATACTGCCGGATATTTGACAAGTAGCATGTAGTAACATTCCCTTAGGCAGCAACACTCCTTCCCCGTCAAGCTGGTCACGCACCTCGGCCCGCCCATCCCGCACGACCCCCGCCTAACGCCCGCCCAGCTGCAGCAGAAGGTAGCTATATTGCCGGACACTTTGACAGTACTGCCGAACACTGACAATACTGCGGACACTTCTAGAAACCTAGCATATTGACGGACACTTCCGAACACTGTCTACACTGTCGGATGCTTTCGGACACTTTGGCAATATTGCTGGACACTTGACAAGTAGCATGTAGTAACATTCATTTAGGCTGCAACACTCCTTCCCCGTCAAGCTGGTCATACATCTCGGCCCGCCTATACCGCACGATCCCCGCCTAACGCCCGCCCAGCTGCAGCAGAAGGTAGCTATATTGCCGGACACTTTAACAGTACTGCCGGACACTGACAATACTGCGGACACTTCTAGAAACCTAGCATATTGACGGACACTTCCGGACACTAGCAATAATGATGGACATTTTCGGACACTTCGGCAATACTGCCGGACATTTGACAAGTAGCATGTAGTAACATTTTTTTAAGCTGCAACACTCCTTCCACGTCAAGCTGGTGACGCATCTCGGCCCGCCCATACCGCACGATCCCCGCCTAACGCCCGCCCAGCTGCAGCAGAAGGTAGATATATTTCCGGACACTTTAACAGTACTGCCGGACACTGACAATACTGCGGACACTTCTAGGAACTTGGTAACACTGAAGGACAATCCGGACTCTTTGTCTATACTGCCGGACGCTTTCGGACACTTTGGCAATACTGTCGGACACTTGATAAGTAGTATGTAGTAACATTCCCTCAGGCAGCAACACTCCTTCCACGTCAAGCTGGTCACGCACCTCGGCCCGCCTATACCGCACGATCCCCGCCTAACGCCCGCCCAGCTGCAGCAGAAGGTAGCTATATTTCCGGACACTTTAACAGTACTACCGGACACTGACAATACTGCGGACACTTCTAGAAACTTGGTAACTCTGAAAGACAATCCGGACACTTTGTCTATATTGTCGGGGACACTTCTGGAATCTTAGCGATACTGCCGGACGCTTTCGGACACTGGCAATACTGTCGGACACTTGACAAGTAGTATGTAGTAACATTCCCTCAGGCAGCAACACTCCTTCCCCATCAAGCTAGTGACGCACCTCGGCCCGCCCATACCGCACGATCCCCGCCTAACGCCCGCTCAGCTGCAGCAGAAGGTAACTAAGTAACCATACTGCCGGACACTTCCGGATACTTTTACAATAATGACAGACACTTCTGGACACTTTGGTAATAATTAAGGACACTTTGGCTATACTGTTGGATACTTCCGGACACTTGACTATACTACCGGACACTGGCAATACTGACATACACTTCTGGACACTTTAGGGGTTTGTTCAATGTTATTAAAGTGCCAACGTCAGTGTTTTAAAAAGTCCAAGGCCGTCATCATGGTACAGACGACAACACATCAGACTATACATTTTAAACATAACCAACAAAAAAAAATGATTTTGGACCTAACAAGTATTATTGCAACCTTTGAATAAAACATGTTTTCACCACCAGGTGGCAGAAGCTATTGAAAAACTGATCGACGAGCACCAGAGAGTGCCCGGCAACATCCTCCTCGCCCTCACGGAGCGCGTCTACGAGATGCCCAAGCGGAGGGCGAAGCCACGCGACGTCCCCAACGGAAAATGCCAAAACGGCGCCACCTCCAGTGACAAATGTGACAGTGACGAAGCCAAAGTTTCATAACTCCCGCCACTTTTTTGACGTAACTGTAAAAAACTTTTTAAAAGTATCAACGGCCATGTAAAAATTCAGTATTTCCCCGTGCAAATACTCTGTTTTTACACATCTTGGGTTCAAACCCATTTCTGTTTCGGGCTCGCCCGTCCGCCATTTTGTTTAATCGCTATCAAATTCGGAATTACTCAATTTAATATAGAATCATTGATTTTTGTTCTTGGCTCTAGAGCATTGGTTCCCAAAGTGGTGGGCACGCCCCCCTGGGGAGGCGCAAAGACCTTTAAAGGGGGGCGCGGACCATCTGTGTACTTAAGTATAAAAAACCTGCGACCGCTGAGAGAATGCATTCCAGACAGCTCGATACGACCAAAATCTTGACTGGAGGAGGGGGGCCGCGAAATTTTTTGTATGGTCGAAAGGGGGCGCGTCTCAAATAAGTTTGGGAACCAATGCTCTAGCTAGAGTATACGTTACCTAATAAAGTTACTTTTTGGCCTTGAGTTAGTACAAAGATACTTCTAAAATTAAGCATTTGAAATATACTCAGCTTATTCTATTAATTAGGTACGCAACAAAACTGAAACGTCGCAATCTTAACGTATTACAAGTGCTCATAATGTTTGTATTTAATTATTTAAATAAAGAACACCATTAAAATAAGTTATAAAACAACTGAATAACAGGACCGATTTTCATAAATAAGTTATATAAAAGTTTGCCAATTGGGTGTTGATAACGATGATGGATGACATAACATTTTACTATATGTTTGCAGTTTATGTATTCCATTTTAAAAATATAGCATAAACGTTAAAAATCATATATTTAACGTATTTACGAGATTTAGTTGCATTTATAGAAACAAAAAGTTCAAAAGCGATCCAAAATATAAAAACGCATCAGTACAAAACTATGTACAGATCGTTATTAAAGGTATTAAATACTTTTTAAACCTTGAACTAGAATAGAGAAATATCTTGTTGATGTTGGAAACACCAGGTAAAGGGTTATTTAAGAAAACGTAATTTAATACATAAATTATGTTATGTATTTGAGTAAGCAGCGTGATTTTACTAAAATCAAGTTTTATTGGCAAATCATGAGACACTCGAGTGTTTTGCACGATCATATTAAGTTCTCTCACAAACTATTATAAGTTATTATTAGTATCTAAAATCTATTTATTAATCTAAAATTATTTATTTTTGTTTGTATTTATTCAAGTTTACGAAAAATACCTATGCTACTTAATCATGTGCTTTTAGATAAACTCAAATTAGTTAAATTAGATGATGTAGGTGCAAAACACTCCTGTAATAATTTTAATATCGAATTTATATTATTATTTTATATTTTTAGGATTTGCTTTTAATTTTATTCGACATATCAAACAATTATGAATTTTGTGATAGTTTAAAGACATTATTTGTATAAAAATAAAAATATGCATTTTGTGTCAAATTTTTTTCGCAGTTTGTGTAACTAAATTATATTTATAATCAACAAGGACGTGGTTCGAAGTATGTATGTGTATGTTTATACATGATTAACTATTAATCCGACACTAGAAATAATTTTACAATTTCTATGTTTAGTGCTTAGATATTTGAGAGAAAAGTCTAATATACGTTCAGACTAGCGGTATAAAATTTACATTGACCAGTTTGGGAATTATTTCACTGGTTTGCCACTTTTGCTTCCAGTGAGAACATAGACGACTTTTAATCGATCATACAAAAGGGCCCGGTTATCGATAAGGCAGATGTAGCCACTCGGAAAAGTATGAAAATGTGTTATAAATAGAAAAAAATAAAGGTAATAGAGTCTCAGATGTACTTTGCCTTGGGTTTAATCGGGCCCTGTGTATCAATGTCTTCTGACATAATGGTGACGTATGAATTTGTGTCTTGTATATTTGTATTAAAATTCAAGTTTGTTCATCATTATGTTAGAGGTATTGATGATTTTCGATTGCCTTTCTCTAAGTCTACACTTCCTAGTGTGAGGTAATATTAGCGTATGTATTTAACATAAGTTAGCAGTAGTGCTGGCGCTACTATATGTAAGCACTAATATAAAATATTGTGCTTATTTACTTTTGGATGTGTCATGTGTAGAATGAGGACTTAATACACTCTGGACAATCTTGTTAGTTGCACTTCTAAAGAAGCACTGAATTTGGGCAAAATACTAAATTAATAGCGTTTAGTAAAATTAGTAAGTGTGTCAATGTCATTAAACTTTAACAATAATGCTAAAATAGGTTTGAATATATTAATTTATATCATAAAGTAACAACAAGCCTGTTTGACGGTAACCCTACTAAATAAGAACCGATGTACAGTCACGCTCAAAAAAGTATGAAATCAAATAAATATTCCAATCTCTACTAGAAATTATCTTCTTTCTTATAATGAACTTATGGTGATATGTGGTCATATTAATTGAATTCATACGTTTTTGCGCTTTACTGTACATTTTTAACGTGCCAGTTGTGTGTTAGTTCGTCTGCCCCATTTTTGACTGTTAGTAAGTTTGTACTGTATAAATATACTTAATTGCGAATGGATACTTATTTAAAGTAAGTATAAATATAATATTTTCTAAGTATGCGTGAATTTTATTTGTTTATCCCAATGTAAAAAATAAAAAATATTTTTTAGTCAAATGTATCATAACATTTTATTCAATTAATCTTAACTAATTAAAACACTTTACATATCAGCATTTAAAAAATCTCTTACATTTTATAATTTATTTTACAACAATTCTATTATTTATAGAAATATTTACTATTATTATCAGACTCGTACAAAAATTATCATTTTATAATCCACTCTCATTTCAAAATACAATTTGAGTGTATTTTTACATGAACTGTACCTATTAATATCTACAAATTACATCAGACTATGATCTTTGTACACTTTACAAAGTTAGACAAAACATTTAATTCAACATAAATAAAACATTTACTTTAAAACAATTGTCGCTTTTGTGACTGTATTGAAATATTTAAACAGTTCTTGATTTTATAGTTTCATCATTATGGTAGTTTGTCTGGAAAATATTTAAATTAACCAACATTTCACAAATTACTAAATACACGATTCAGAAATAAGTAATGAGAATTGAAAAGATAAATCACAATTAGACAGGATTTAGAAAAAATAATAAAGAATATTTAGATAAAATTAGTCAGTACTAAAATTTAAGTATATTTCGATTATATTTTTATAAGCAACGATATAAAATGACTCTTGTCTCCATAAAATCTATAGTCAGGGTACAAAACAAAATTTTCATTAATATTTTAGTGACGTCACCTAGCGGTACAAATTAACTACTGTACACTAAAACATAAAATAAAAACTATCGAGGAAATGTACCACAGGAACTTTTTTGGGCTATTCGTAGTATATTACTACGAGTACATCTACTTTTCAGAAAAAACGGGCATTGTTTCCGAGATAACATACAAAATTGAACTCTATAGTATCTGTTTCATTTGACTGCTTTGGAACAAGAAAAGGAGAAGTACCAACATTAATTTTATTTAACCCTATTTCGCAGGCAAGCTATAGTCCCATTATTATCACTTCTTTGTAAGCTTTATAAATGATTTATTACAGTATTATTTACCTAATTTGGTATATGTCACAATATACACATTATTCTTTCGAAATTGCACCCATTACAGGCAGCGTCAAATAGTTTGTGACACAACATGTCTTTTTTACAATAGACGCGTTGACACCAGGGTTCGAAAATATCCGATATTTATTATAAATATCAAAATATCGGATATTTATTATAAATATCAAAATATCGGATATTTATTATAAATATCAAAATATCGGATATTTATTATATATATCCGATATATATCAACTTTGATATATATCAATTTTGTATGAAAGCCATACTATTATTTTATTGTATTATTTATGAATACTATTGCATATGTGTTACTTAAACATGTTTTTAATGTTTTTAAAACTTAAAATCGGACAAATAAAGCAAAAACGTAAAATCTTGTTTCAAATACGGCAAAATAAACTAAAAAATAAAAATCTTATATCAAAAAGTACAAATACAGTCACAAATTTTAAAAATTGATATATATCGTCAAAACCGGCTTGATATATATATATATCTATATATATATAAGATATATATATATATATATATACAGAGTGTTAGGTAAATGGGTATATGAGCCGACACTAGCCCATGTTAACATGGGCATATAAATGGTATGGTGAAGTCAGAAATTTGATATCATCATTTTATTTTTTTTAATTTTCATACAAAATAAATTTTAATAAATCCGATTTGTATGAAAAATAAAATAATTAAAATGAAGGTATAAATTTTCTGACTTCACCATACCATTTATATGNGTTAGGTAAATGGGTATATGAGCCGACACTAGCCCATGTTAACATGGGCATATAAATGGTATGGTGAAGTCAGAAATTTGATATCATCATTTTATTTTTTTTAATTTTCATACAAAATAAATTTTAATAAATCCGATTTGTATGAAAAATAAAATAATTAAAATGAAGGTATAAATTTTCTGACTTCACCATACCATTTATATGACCATGTTAACATGGGCTAGTGTCGGCTCATATACCCATTTACCTAACACCCTGTATATATATCTTGATATATATCCCTTGATATATATCCTCGAACCCTGGTTGACACCATCAATCAATTGAAGTACTTTTTAAAACTGTCAAAACGCAACCAAACCAATGCAATCAAAAATCTTTATTTACAGATAATTTAAAATTAATTAAGTTTTTAAGACCAGAATGAAGTGTCTTTTAAAAAAAGTTGTGATTTCGAATTATTGGGGAATGGTGTCAAATAGTCTATTAAAATAAGGTTGTGTTGTTAACTTTTTGGCCACTTTGGGCGTTGTGAACCATTTGACGCGGACTGCACAAGCAGCATAAGGTGCAACATTCGATTCGCCATCCCTACCTACCTATTTACATTGCCATATAATACACTTCAGTGGCGTTAAACGTCACTTTAGTCCATGAACCGCTCATCGCTAGGCAAGTCACACAGCGAGGAGAAGAAGTCCGGTTGTAACTGTTAGAGGAAGTCGTTGTAGCTGGGCACATCGTCGAATTGCTGGGTTTGGGTTGTGGGACGCGCGGCCGCGCCGCCCGGACGGTATTGTTGGGGTTGCTAACAGAAATACGGGTTAGAATACATGGAATAAGATTGTTGTATTTTCTTTTAAAGTTGTAGGTATAACAGTTGACATCGTCTCTATTGTTTGACACTTTATGGCGCAGATACACTATGCGCGAACTTGATCGAACATAATGGCTACTACCCGTTCGCGCCAAGTTTGCCGGTCCGTGGAATGCGCGTCCCCTCCTCCAACCGCGATTAAACGCAAATAATTAGTGATTAAAGGCAATTGAGTGTTTTATTTTAAGCAAATACACAATTTTTATCAATATTAATAAATAAAAAATATTTTTAACATAGTTTGCTAAAGTTATAGACCCTTTTCTTCGAGTGACGTCATATCGCCAGCGGCAAACTTATCGCGAACGGATAGTACCTACATACAGGGTGGAAACGATAAGAGATCTCACTCGATTATTTCTAAACTATACAAGATATCAAAAAACTAGTTACTGATCCTGAAAGTGCTTCATGAGCTCTATCAAACGGTATCAATAATAAGTTAAAGAATAAACTGGATCTATCCGAAAATTCAATGTTTCCGGCTTCCATACATTTGGTTCCTAATAATATTAAAAACTACAAAAGATATCGTAAAACTGGTCCTAAAAGTGCTTCACGAGCTCTCTCCAATAGTATTAATATTAAGTTCCAGAATAAACTGGATCTATCTAAAAAATCAATGTTTCCATATTCCATACTTTTAGTACTAACACAGATATGGCACTCATCTCTTGATAATATTATAGCAAATAAAGCCTAAAACTAATATTTTCCATAAATTATTTTAAATAAGAATGCAATTTACGAGTTAGAGAATTTTTTTAAAGTTTATTTTAAGTTAAAAAAAAAATACACTTCTAATATTGAGTGGTTGGCATTCATTTAGTATGGAAGCTGGAAACATTGGATTTTCGGATAGATCCCGTTTATTCTATAACCTGTTATTGATACCATTTGAAAGAGCTCGTGAAGCACTTTCAGGATCAGTAACCAGTTTTTCGATATCTGGAATAGTTTCGAAATAATCGAGTGAGATCACTTATCGTTTCCACCCTGAATATCTTCATATTTAAAAGTTCCCTTATTAACGAATGAGTTTATTTTGGGAGATAATTTTCTTAATTTGCTATTCGCTAAGATATTTTCTTAAACATTAATTATAAGTCTTAATTTCTAACTATGTGATTTGGCGGTAGACTGTGCAGTAATGAATGGATGAATGAACTTAAACAAAACTTATTAGTGGAAACAAATGAATAAATAAAGGTCATTCACATGAGTGCTGTTAGGGAAATAAGCATAACACCTTTAGTTAAAAAAGTAGCATCAGTATAACATCTGTCCATCCCTTTCACTCATAGCTAAACACAGCAAAGAGCGACAGAGATAGACAGATGAGACTATACCTACAGACCACACCGTGAGCTATAGACAATGCATTTAAGCGATAAAGTAAACCAACCCCTTTAATTAGAGCTCGATTTAATTGACTTAGCTATTGTACTTTTAATTTCATTAGCTCGTAGTGTGGACTGCTTTTCTATAAAAAAATTAAAAAAATAAACATTATTTAAGAAACATCAAAATTGGCTTCATAGGTAAAAAATATTGTACCTACGGGCAAGTGGTAGCGAGGGTACAACAAAAGGGTTAAAATAAAGCATAGCAACTAAGGCCCAGTTTTTTGATTCATAGTTAAAATAACAAATTGTTAAATTTTGTGACTAATGGTTAAACATTAACAAAATGTAAACTAATAGTTAAAAATGTACTAAAAGTAAAGCTAACCATTGTTCAAAAACATTTTTTTCTGATATTTAACCACTTGTCATTTGACATGTGTCAAATTTGACTATTAGTTATTTTAACTATGAATCAAACAACTGGGCCTAAGAAGAATGGCCTTTTTTGATGTTCTTACATGATACTCATGAAGTGTATTGGTGTCACGTTTGATATCAATTTACTTTCAACATTCTAAAGTTTTAATTCAGATGCAGAGCTATAATGCGTGCAACAATAAAATTGAATATCGCGATATTATATCGATTTTTGGTGGTTTATCATCTACAATCGATAAGATTTTATCGTGGCGCGCACTTTAGCCCTGCTGCGCTGCTTTTTTTTATCAATGTGAACTGGTCCATTTATTGTCCCGAAGTAGTGCCAGGGTTAAAGTGATACTAGGACGTGTAAAATCGCTTTTTAAAAGGCTATGTGCAGAAAACTTTGTTTTAAGCTAATAAATAAATATCTTATCTTATGGCCTCTCAGCATTAAAGCAATCAAAATCAAACGTAACACCAAAGCGTGGTTAGTACAGAGGTGAGCATTACTTGCGCGTGCGCCGCTTGTCTATGCTACTGCGCCTCAGTCTATGGCTACATGTGCGGGCGCGGGCCGCGTTGCTGCTGCTGCTGTTGTTGTTGTTGCTAGAACCACGAGCGCAGCTGAGACCGTGAACCGGTGAAGCGGTGGACCATAGACTATCCTTTATCTATGGTTCATAGATAAAGGATTGATAGACCGCGCCATTGGAAATTAGTAGTTGTGAAATAACGAGTGGATCGTACCGCAAGCAAGCATATATAATTTGTGTAAAACGAGTTACTAAAATTTACTAAATAAACGGCATAGATTTAAATTTTCATGTTAAAACATGTTTACGAAATTCCGTAAGTCTTGGACGAATAAACCACTGGACGCGTAACGAGTGACGTTTTCGTCTTTACCCCGCTAGCACTTACCATGGCTAAATTAGCCATGGTAAATGTTGTCAGGTTGTCACTTTGTCAGTATGACGCCAGCTCTCGAAGAGTAAAAATATCACGAAAAATGGGTAAATGCGCCGTACTTTATTGCAAAAATTATTCCTGTCACACAAGAAATGTTTCTTATCACGCGTAAGTAAATTTTAAATCTATTATAGTAGCTATTTTTTCGTAAAATAAATAAAATTTGATATGTAAACAAAATATGATTACGTCATTTTAAAAAGTACTCATTGTACATGTAAATGCTTAAAACATGTAGCATATTTAATTTGGTTGTATTATAGGTTTCATTCATTCATTCACATCTCATTTTTTATGACGTAAAGGGCTTGAAAAATGTCGATAAGTTTATCGATATACCAAACAAACTGAAACTGAAATTATTCAAATTAATTTTAGATTTTGATAGATTTTTTTGTTTTGATAATTTTAGTCACATGAAACAAAAGATTATGAGATAGACATAGATGGAACATACAAAACAAGCACACCAGTAAATGTAAGTAATAATTACACCTTTTTTGAAATATGTTGTACATCAAAATACTGGTCAAATTTGAATAAAATATTTTTGATGTTGATTGATTTTTTGGCTTTATTTTAGTCACATGAAACAAAAGATGATGAGATCCACACAGATGGAACATACAATTTAAACTTTTCATTGCATCTAAATATTAATAATGTCATCACAAAAATACGCCAAATGACTACAATTATTATTTTTTATTTCATTAACAGGTTTTATTTTCGGTATGCAATACCGAGGTGGAACCTTTTAGATCTGTGTCATCCCCTCACGTTTAGTGAAATACCGGGGTGGTTGGAACTTGATTTGGTCCATCCTGTCATCAACTGTTTTTCAATGGGACGACTTCTGAACATCAGAGAGATCTTGACTGTCAAGATACGTGAATTAGGCCACTGAACTTTTCAAAACAAAACCAACACAGGTGAAATATCTGAGCATCTCCCTTGACAATAAATTGAACTGGGCAAGTCATATCGACAACATGCATAGTGCCTAGCAAACATAGCGGCCATGGGTTGTATGAGAACCACTCTATCGGCATCACTTGACTTCTTTCTGAATCTCAGACATTTAGACCTCATTATTCAGGAGGAAGCACAAGCACCCACTCTAAGACTTAAAGGAAACGATCTATGAAAGCAAAACAAGGAGACAGGATATTCCGCGATTCTGCACAAAACCCTAAAAGAAATACCCCTCATCAACAGGATAGGTACCCTGTGTACACATCTTCGACCAAAGATAATATCCAGCTTACAGCGGAAACGCGAAATTGCTCTGGAATCAATGAAGTTAGGATATACCGACGTCTTCAAAACTGAAATAAGTACTAGGAGGTCTTCTCGAATGACCTAAACATAAGAATATCAACAACATTAGATAAGAATTAAATATTCTCAGATAGTGCATCCGTACTGCAAGCGCTACAAAGCAATACATTGTCATAATGTTATCAAATTGTGTTTCATGAAATGTATAGAAATAGGCTATTGATGAAACTTTTGTCCGTGACGTGAGACAGATTATAACATTTGTTGAGACCAAAAGCTAGTTAGCAGTCGATCGTAACAGAATATTACTTGTTTATTGCTTTACGAATTTGATAATGATAACACAGCCAAAAAATATTTCACCTAGTTACCTACCTATATGAATAATTTGTAATATTATTTGTACCTATGATTTACCAATGGCATTATAATAAACACGATACAATAATTAATTATAGTCTTTCAATTAAAGAAACTTTCAATATTAAATCAATCCATAATTCATTTATCTCGTTAGGTTCATTCATTCATTCATTTACATAACTATCGATAAAAATTTACGATCTTTTCCCAGCACTAAATGTCATTATTTGACAATTGTCAAACCTCTCCCCCCGCAAAAAGTGGTTGATCGTGTTTCCTTAGAAATCTTGTAGGTTTCGTGTCCAGTGGTTTATTCGTCCAAGCCGTAAGTCCATTGACGCAGGCTTCCTATATCTAAATAGCTCGAGTAGGTAGGTAAGGAAAAGCACAAGGCTGTGAAAGAGCGAGTTATAAATGCTACTTTTCGATGTATGAGCCTTTTAGAGGTAAATGTATAACACCATGACTCGTTCATCGTATGCTTCATCGGAACACGGTCTGTTACCCTGTTTCACGAGCGCCAATCATTATTATTTTTAACTTTTTCAATAGTTAGAAACGATTTCCAACAGCTAGTTACTTTTTTCGATTTTGATTGGCGTTTCGAAGCCGGGTTTTAAATAAATTTCTCGGTGTGATTTAAGCTGTGAGCGTGTTAAGGAGCTGTGGGCAAAGCATGTTAAGAAACAGATTAGGTTAAAACATAAAGATAAAGAGTACCTATAACATCGACGTAACAAAAGACATTGATTTTGAACCATTGGGCGCTTGGAAAACTGCGTAATTTAGTTAGTTTGTTACTTGTCATTTATATTCGTCAATTATTTTTCGTTTGTTCAAATTACGCGTTTTATAATTAGGTATGTATATCTTTTGTTTTTTCGATGCTCATAAACTAATTTATGCAGAATTTAATTAAATTTTAATTATATACAGGGTGTTAGGTAAATGGGTATATGAGCCGACACTAGCCCATGTTAACATGGTCATTTAAATGGTATGGTGTGAGTCAGAAAATTGATATCTTCATTTTAAATATTTTATTTTGCATACAAAATCAAATCGGATTTTATAAAATTTATTTTGTATGAAAATAAAAAATATAATGCTAGTGGTAGCTAGGCTAGTGTCGGCTCATATACCCATTTACCTAACACCCTGTATATTGCTGATTGTACAAAAAAAAAACTTGTAATGTTAAGTACAATTTTTTAAATTCTGTTTGAACATAGTTTACTTCACAATAAATAAAAACCAACACATTAAATGAAGATTTTTTTTAAATCACTTAAACATGTTAATCAAAATAAATGGGTTTGTTAATAAACTTGCAGCTATAAAATAATGTTGGCTGGTGAAAAAAAGAGAAAGCCAGATAGAAAAAATGTGAGTGACTTGCAGTTATTGACTAGATGCGTAGATACATTGCAGTGCACTGATGGAAGTTTAAGACTTTGTATGAGGAAAATAAAGGATGTGTGTGAAAGTGCATATAATTTACATGGCTAGGTACTGATCCGTGGATCCTGGCTGGTTATTGACTACCTGGAGTTGGAGTGCAGCATATGTCAGAGCAGACTGCTTATGCTTCAATACTTACCCATATCTACTCGTACACATAAGTTGTAATAGCAACGAGAGTTGTGAATTGTGCCTGTATACTGTTTGAAATGAGTCATTCTTGTCACCTGGACTACTCCTTGAGTCCCAATTTCTGGTCTTCTTTCTGTGTCCTGAGTCTTTACCCTAGAAATTAAGTCTTATGCCCGTTTACACAATTTTTAAGTGACCCTTATGTAAACAAAATTCCTGTTATTTGTCACCATAGGGATCACGTAAAAATTAAAGATTGATGGTGAAAACGGGCATTACTCTTAGGTCCTGGTCCAGGTTTCTTGAAACTATATCCTGGTACCTAAGTTCTGGATCCTATGTTCTGGTCCCTTAATCCTGTATTCTAGTTGGTTACCTGAGGTGCCTGAAACCAGGGAAGGAGGGCAGCATGGTGTAGCAGACTGCTTCAGCTGTAATTAGAGTACGCAACTTGTGTATACGTAGGTGTGTGTTCCTGGTACACTTACTGGTACAGAAGTTGCGAACCATTGGCAATAAAAGTTGTGAACAGTCCAGTAAACTGGTTGAAGAGTTGTAAGGTGTCGTCACCCGGACTCTTCCTTGAGTCCTGGTTAGTCGGGACTAATGCCCTCTAGAACCTGGGCCCTTGTCTTTAGATCTTTGCACCTAGGTCCTCTGGGCCCTAGGTCCTGGCTAGCTATTGGTTACCTGCTGCAGCAGGTGCCTGAGGCCGGGGTTGGAGGGCAGCATGGGCCGCAGCAGGCGCGGCTGGTGCTGTGCGCCGCCGCGTAACTGCTGCTGTAGCTGCTGCTGCAGTTGATGCTTACGTTGCTCCTGCAAACGGTAAGTTAGAATGAGATTTAAGGCCATGATTTCCCAAATTGTTGATATTTGACTGATTTTGTTTGCAGATAGCTTCTAAATGAAAAGATATTTTAGCAAACAAAAAATTGTACGAGTAAGTTAATGTCTTTAACTAGGGCGACAACTTTTCCAAAACACGATATTGCATAGTTTGTCCGATAAAAAAAAATCCCAAAGAAGTACGTCGACGGCTTTTTTGTTTTACTCTCATATATTCATTTTTAACATTTTACACTTAAAATATATACTAATAGATAGGACTTTGTATTTTCTAGGTCGACAACTTTTCAAACTTTTGTTATTGCGTCTTATTTAGTTACTATGTTGAAAAAATGTGAAAAAAACGGCCATGACGGCTTGGACAATCTTAATCAGTCGCGCGGTGGCGCTTACGGAGGACGGACGCGTGTCAGTTATGTTGTTTGGCATTGCAGAGTAACCAATAAAAGTAAATAAAATAATATAAATAAATAAAAAATATAAATAAAATGATATAAATAAATAAAATATTATAAATACTTAAATTAATATTAGACAACATCTCATATATTACTACAACCCAAAATAAGTAGCTAACGCATTTGTGTTATGGAAATCGGGAACGACGAACCACAACACACCCAAACCAGAGACAATGTGAAAAGATCGTTTTCTATATTGTCCCGGCCGGAAATCGAGCCCGGGACCTCAGGATTGGCCCGGCACACCTTGAAAACCGGTGTGTGCGCCTCTCCGCCACGGAGGTCGTCAAAAATGTTACCTAAATGTAAAATAAAATAAAATACTAAAACTTCATTTTCTCAATATTCCCATATAAGAGAGAAAAAAAAATGCACGGAAATTCATTGGATATTAGTATGTATCGTCTGTGATAGGTTTCGTTTGTGTCCGCTACTTTTCGAAAAGTGGGGCAAAAAGTTCCCAATGTCATTTAATCTTCATCTTCAAAGGCTCTGAGACGTGGTCGCTTACTATGGGCCTCATAAGAAGGCTCAAGGTCACCCAAAGGGCGATGGAGCGGGCTATGCTCGGAGTTTCCCTGCGTGATCGAATCAGAAATGAGGAGATCCGCAGGAGAACCAAAGTAACCGACATAGCTCGCAGAATTGCTAAAATCAAGTGGCAGTGGGCGGGGCACATAGCTCGTGGAGACGATGGCCGTTGGGGCAGGAAAGATCTCGAGTGGCGACCACGGGCTGGAAGACGTAGCGTGGGCAGGCCTCCTACTAGGTGGACCGACGATCTGGTAAAGGTCGCGGGAAGATCCTGGATGCGGGCAGCGCAGGACCGTTCATTGCGGAAAACCTTGGGGGAGGCCTTTGTCCAGCAGTGGACGTCCATTTGGCTGAAAAGAAAGAAAGAAGAATCTTCAAAGGCTCAGGGCGCCTGTTGCATTAAGTGGGAGCTGGGTACGCGATAGAACAGCCAAGATAACCCTTTCGCGTAAATGCGCAGTGGCAGGGTTAAGAACAGAACAAGTGATTCTGGCGGTTATAAACATAACATGAGAAGATAATTAAGAGAAAAACACAATTAAAAATAAAAAAAAACCTTTCAATAGTCAGAGACAGACAGACAGCTTTAGTATGTATGACAAGCATTGGGAGAGTACTGATGATGGTCGAATAAGATCTTTATGGCTGGCGAAACCATCGGCAACAGGAGTAGACTATATCCATCTGGATTTGGACCATTCCCACACTTACCACGGATGTCGTAAGAAGCAACTTGGAGAGAAATATGCGAACATGTAGTGGGTATAGATCGTGTCATCCACGAAGACGCGCCCCACCAATTTTTGGTCGATGGAAGCGCGGAGTACGGGGAGTTTGTTCCGAGCAATCCGAGCGTCATTATTGTAGTGTGCGTGTGCATGGATAATTTAGCGTGTACCGATAACACTCAATCATAAGCGGAAGAATGGTGGGGCGCGTCTTCGTGGATGAAACGATCTATAGAGAGTTGTCGTGCTGCAGTGGAGACTGTGGGCGTCTTCAGTTTTCTCGCGCTTCTAATTCGATGGCGCCTAACGACCTGGTGATAATGACGTAACAATACGTCACCAGCTCACCTCCAGCTGCTTGTAGTGCTGCTCCTGCTGCTGGGCCGCGTGCAGGTGCTGCATGATGTCCATCTGCGACTTGAACTGCTGCTGGTGCGCCGCCTCCAAGCTCTGCTGGAGGTGCTGGATCACCTCCAGCTGCATACACAGCCTTGGGAGTGGCGAGTGGAGGCCTAATTGGAGACTGAATGATCTGATGATGATCTAATGAGATCTTCATGGCTGGTGAGACCATCAGCAACAGGAGTAGACTATGTCCATCTGGATTTGGACCATACCCACACGTAAAGTCCGGTCGCCGAGCAGATCGAATTTCGTCCAATGACCCCAAGCTACACGACCGAATAATTATAATTGCTGTCATGCTCGCACACTTACTTCGGTCGCCCGTCGCACAGTCGCGACAGCAATATAATTACGCGCGAGCGATAAGGATGGGTAGCTTGGGGTCATTGGACGAAATTCTATCTGCTCGGCGACCGAACTTTAGTAGATGTCGTAAGAAGCGACTTGGGGAGAAATATGCGAACATCAAGTGGATAGAGAGTTTTCCTCCTGGAGTGGAGAGGAAACTGGGCGTCTTCAGCTTTCTCGTACTTCGAATTTGAAGGCGCAACGACCTGGTGATAATGACGTAACAATGTTTCATCGACGACATCGTAAAGGTAGCAGGGAAGCGCTGGACGCAGGCCTCCCCCAATGCTTTCCACATTGATCGATTGGTAGCGACCAATCGAGCAACGTGGAAAGCATTGGGGGAGGCCTATGTTCAGCAGTGGACGTCCTGTGGCTGAAATGATGATGATGATGATGAATGTTTCACCAGCTCACCTCCAGCTGCTTGTAGTGCTGCTCCTGCTGCTGGGCCGCGTGCAGGTGCTGCATGATGTCCATCTGCGACTTGAACTGCTGCTGGTGCGCCGCCTCCAAGCTCTGCTGGAGGTGCTGGATCACCTCCAGCTGCATACACAGCCTTGGGAGTGGCGAGTGGAGGCCTAATTGGAGACTGAATTATCTGATGATGATCGGATAAGATCTTCATGGCTGGCGAGACCATCAGCAACAGGAGTAGACTATGTCCATCTGGATTTGGACCATACCTACAAGTAAAGTCCGGTCGCCGAGCAGATAGAATTTCGTTCAATGACCCCAAGCTGTGCTAACGCTCGCGAGTAAGCTGTCGTGCTCGCACACTCACTGCGGGCGCCAGTCGCACAATCGCGACAGCAATATAATTACGCGCGAGCGATAAGGATGGGTAGCTTGGGGTCATTGGACGAAATTCTATCTGCTCAGCGACCGGACTTTAGTAGATGTCGTAAGAAGAGACTTGGGGAGAAATATGCGAACATCAAGTGGGTAGAGAGTGGGCCTCCTGCAGAGACTATGGGCGTCTTCAGCTTTCTCGCGCTTCGAATTTGAAGGCGCCCTTAACGACCTGGTGATAGTGATGTAACAATATTCTACCAGCTCACCTCCAGCTGCTTGTAGTGCTGCTCCTGCTGCTGGGCCGCGTGCAGGTGCTGCATGATGTCCATCTGCGACTTGAACTGCTGCTGGTGCGCCGCCTCCAAGCTCTGCTGGAGGTGCTGGATCACCTCCAGCTGCATACACAGCCTTGGGAGTGGCGAGTGGAGGCCTAATTGGAGACTGAATGATCTGATGATGATCGGATAAGATCTTCAAGGCTGGTGAGACCATCAACAACAGGAGAAGACTATGTCCATCTGGATTTGGACCATACCCACACGTAAAGTCCGGTCGCGGAGCAGATAGAATTTCGTTCAATGACCCCAAGCTACCCGTCCTTATCGCTCGCGAGTAAGCTGTCGTGTTCGCACACTCACTGCAGTCGCCCGTCGCAGAGTCGCGACAGCAATATAATTAAACGCGAGCGACAAGGATGGGTAGCTTGGGGTCATTGGACGAAATTCTATCTGCCCGGCGACTGAACTTTAGGAGATGTCGTAAGACGCAACTTGGGAAGAAATATGCGAACATCAAGTGGGTAGAGAGTGGACCTCTTGCAGAGACTATGGGCGTCTTTAGCTTTCTCGCGCTTCTAATTCGATGGCGCAACGACCTGGTGATAATGACGTAACAATACGTCACCAGCTCACCTCCAGCTGCTTGTAGTGCTGCTCCTGCTGCTGGGCCGCGTGCAGGTGCTGCATGATGTCCATCTGCGACTTGAACTGCTGCTGGTGCGCCGCCTCCAAGCTCTGCTGGAGGTGCTGGGTCACCTCCAGCTGCATACACAGCCTTGGGAGTGGCGAGTGCAGGTCTAATTGGAGACTGAATGATCTGATGATCATCTAATGAGGTCTTCATGGCTGGCGAAACTATCGGCAACAGGAGTAGACTATGTCCGTCTGGAATGGACCATTCCCACACTTACCACGGATGTCGTAAGAAGCAACTTGGGGAAAGATATGTGAACATCAAGTGGGTATAGATCGTTTCATCCACGAAGACGCGCCCCACCAATTTTTGGTCGAGGGAAGCGCGGGGTGCGGGGAGTATGATCCGAGCAATCCGAGCGTCATTATTGTAGTGTGCGTGTGAACTCATGTGTAATTTAGCGTGTACCGATAACACTCGAACATTAGCGGAAAAATGGTGGGGCGCGTCTTCGTGGATGAAACGATCTATAGAGAGCTGTCCTGCTGCAGTGGAGACTATGGGCGACTTCAGCTTTCTCGCGCTTCTAATTTGAAGGCGCAACGACCTGGTGATAATGACGTAACAATGTTTCATCGACGACATCGTAAAGGCAGCAGGGAAGCGCTGGACGCAGGCCGCTACCAATCGATCAACGTGGAAAGCATTGGGGGAGGCCTATGTTCAGCAGTAGACGTCCTATGGCTGAAATTATGATGATGATGATGATGAATGTTTCACCAGCTCACCTCCAGCTGCTTGTAGTGCTGCTCCTGCTGCTGGGCCGCGTGCAGGTGCTGCATGATGTCCATCTGCGACTTGAACTGCTGCTGGTGAGCCGCCTCCAAGCTCTGCTGAAGGTGCTGGGTCACCTCCAGCTGCATACACAGCCTTGGGAGTGGCTAGTGGAGGCCTAATGTAGTGGAGACTGAATGATCTGATGATGATCTAATGAGATCTTCATGGCTGGTGAGACCATCAGCAACAGGAGTAGACTATATCCATCTGGATTTGGACCATACCCACACGTAAAGTTCGGTCGCCGAGCAGATCGAATTTCGTCCAATGACCCCAAGCTACACGACCGAATAATTATAATTGCTGTCATGCTCGCACACTTACTGCGGTCGCCCGTCGCAAAGTCGCGACAGCAATATAATTAAACGCGAGCGATAAGGATGGGTAGCTTGGGGTCATTGGACGAAATTCTATCTGCTCGGCGACCGAACTTTAGGAGATGTCGTAAGACGCAACTTGGGAAGAAATATGCGAACATCAAGTGGATAGAGAGTTTTCCTCCTGGAGTGGAGAGGAAACTATGGGCGTCTTCAGCTTTATCGCGCTTCTAATTCGAAGGCGCAACGACCTGGTGATAATGACGTAACAATGTTTCATCGACGACATCGTAAAGGTAGCAGGGAAGCGCTGGACGCAGGCCGCTACCAATCGATCAACGTGGAAAGAATTGGGGGAGGCCTATGTTCAGCAGTGGACGTCCTATGGCTGAAATTATGATGATGATGAAGAATGTTTCACCAGCTCACCTCCAGCTGCTTGTAGTGCTGCTCCTGCTGCTGGGCCGCGTGCAGGTGCTGCATGATGTCCATCTGCGACTTGAACTGCTGCTGGTGCGCCGCCTCCAAGCTCTGCTGGAGGTGCTGGGTCACCTCCAGCTGCATACACAGCCTTGGGAGTGGCGAGTGCAGGTCTAATTGGAGACTGAATGATCTGATGATGATCTAATGAGATCTTCATGGCTGGTGAGACCATCAGCAATAGGAGTAGACTATGTCCATCTGGATTTGGACCATACCCACACGTAAAGTACGGTCGCCGAGCAGATAGAATTTCGTCCAATGACCCCAAGCTACCCGACCGAGTAATTATATTGCTGTCATGCTCGCAGACTCACTGCGGCCGCCTGTCGCACAGTCGCGACAGCAATATAATTAAACGCGAGCGATAAGGATGGGTAGCTTGGGGTCATTGGACGAAATTCTATCTGCTCAGCGACCGGACTTTAGTAGATGTCGTAAGACGCAACTTGGGGAGAAATATGCGAACATCAAGTGGGTAGAGAGTGGACCTAGNCTATGTCCATCTGGATTTGGACCATACCCACACGTAAAGTCCGGTCGCCGAGCAGATAGAATTTCGTCCAACAATGACCCCAAGCTACCCGACCGAGTAATTATATTGCTGTCATGCCCGCACGCTCACTGCGGTCGCCCGTCGCACAGTCGCGACAGCAATATAATTACGCGCGAGCGATAAGGATGGGTAGCTTGGGGTCATTGGACGAAATTCTATCTGCTCGGCGACCGAACTTTAGTAGATGTCGTAAGAAGCGACTTGGGGAGAAATATGCGAACATCAAGTGGATAGAGAGTTTTCCTCCTGGAGTGGAGAGGAGACTATGGGCGTCTTCAGCTTTCTCACGCTTCTAATTTGAAGGCGCAATGACCTGGTGATAATGACGTAACAATGTTTCATCGACGACATCGTAAAGGTAGCAGGGAAGCGCTGGACGCAGGCCGCTACCAATCGATCAACGTGGAAAGCATTGGGGGAGGCCTATGTTCAGCAGTGGACGTCCTATCGCTGAAATGATGATGATGATGATGAATGCTTCACCAGCTCACCTCCAGCTGCTTGTAGTGCTGCTCCTGCTGCTGGGCCGCGTGCAGGTGCTGCATGATGTCCATCTGCGACTTGAACTGCTGCTGGTGCGCCGCCTCCAAGCTCTGCTGGAGGTGCTGTATCTTCTCCAGGTTCTGCTGGCGAGCCGCGTCCAGCCCGTCCAACTGGGCCACCGGCCTCGGGCCCTTGCCGGCAACTTGTTGCACTTGGCCGCCCATTCCTCCTCCTATCATCATGCCCTGAGGAGGTTAAATAGTTTGAAGGTATGCGATCGGGTTGGATGTGAAAATGAGGCAGTGCCTCAGCAGTGCGTAGAAAAGATCTAAGTCGCTAAAGGTCATTTAAGAAAATTCCAACAAAATATTAGTGGCACATGCGTTACCTTCGGATATAGTTCTTGCAAATCACGAAGGCGAGTGAGCTTTACTTGTGTGTGTACGTGTCCATGCACATAACGATAGTGTAATGTCTATCGAAACTTTTGAGAAACGAACAGTAGCGAGCCACCACACATGTAAAGCTCACTCGCCATCGTGAATTCTTGAGTGGCAGTACTTCCCAATGCGATGTTACACATGTCATGTGCAGAACCTAAATTTTGGGCTTTAACAGCAGCCTCGTACGCATCTACTGCCTCGTTTTTTACCTAGGATTTCGCGAATTTTCTGCAGCTTCGTTAGCAATTAAATGCGGTTACCTGCAGCTTTGTATTACTAACGACTTCGGGCGTTACCTGCAGCAACCACAGTTACCTACAGTCTTGTGAGTTACCTACGACTTCGCGTGTTACGTGCAGCTTTGTGTGTCACCTACGACTTTACGCATTATTTGCAGTTTTATAAGTTACCTACGACTCCACGTGTTACCCGCAACATTGTGTCACCTACAACTTCCGTGTGTTACCGACGACTTTGCGTGTTACATACAGCCCCGTTAATATCTGCGACTTCGCGCGTTACCTATAGCCTTGTACATTACCTCCGGACTCATGTTTTACCTGCGGCCTTGTGTGTTACATCAGACTTCGTGTGTTACCCACGATTTCGCGCGTTACCTGCTGGTGCTGCGGGTGCTGATGCTGCGTGCTCATGCCCTGCGCCGGCAGCTGCTGCAGCGGCGCCATGCTGCCGCCCGCCATGGAGCCGTTATACCTGCGGCCTCGTGTGTTACATCAGACCTCGTGTGTTACATCAGACTTCGTGTTACCTGCTGGTGCTGCGGGTGCTGATGCTGCGTGCTCATGCCCTGCGCCGGCAGCTGCTGCAGCGGCGCCATGCTGCCGCCCGCCATGGAGCCGTTATACCTGCGGCCTCGTGTGTTACATCAGACCTCGTGTGTTACATCAGACTTCGTGTTACCTGCTGGTGCTGCGGGTGCTGATGCTGCGTGCTCATGCCCTGCGCCGGCAGCTGCTGCAGCGGCGCCATGCTGCCGCCCGCCATGGAGCCGTTATACCTGCGGCCTCGTGTGTTACATCAGACCTCGTGTGTTACATCAGACTTCGTGTTACCTGCTGGTGCTGCGGGTGCTGATGCTGCGTGCTCATGCCCTGCGCCGGCAGCTGCTGCAGCGGCGCCATGCTGCCGCCCGCCATGGAGCCGTTATACCTGCGGCCTCGTGTGTTACATCAGACCTCGTGTGTTACATCAGACTTCGTGTTACCTGCTGGTGCTGCGGGTGCTGATGCTGCGTGCTCATGCCCTGCGCCGGCAGCTGCTGCAGCGGCGCCATGCTGCCGCCCGCCATGGAGCCGTTATACCTGCGGCCTCGTGTGTTACATCAGACCTCGTGTGTTACATCAGACTTCGTGTTACCTGCTGGTGCTGCGGGTGCTGATGCTGCGTGCTCATGCCCTGCGCCGGCAGCTGCTGCAGCGGCGCCATGCTGCCGCCCGCCATGGAGCCGTTATACCTGCGGCCTCGTGTGTTACATCAGACCTCGTGTGTTACATCAGACTTCGTGTTACCTGCTGGTGCTGCGGGTGCTGATGCTGCGTGCTCATGCCCTGCGCCGGCAGCTGCTGCAGCGGCGCCATGCTGCCGCCCGCCATGGAGCCGTTATACCTGCGGCCTCGTGTGTTACATCAGACCTCGTGTGTTACATCAGACTTCGTGTTACCTGCTGGTGCTGCGGGTGCTGATGCTGCGTGCTCATGCCCTGCGCCGGCAGCTGCTGCAGCGGCGCCATGCTGCCGCCCGCCATGGAGCCGGCCGGCATACCGCCGCCGGGCATCGCACCTGTACAAGAGAATGGAATAGAATTCGTTCGTTTCAGCCAAAAGACGTCCACTGCTGGACAAAGGCCTCCCCCAAGGATTTCCACAAAGACCGATCCTGCGCCGCTCGCATCCAGGCACCTCCCGCGACCTTCACCAGATCGTCGGTCCACTTAGTGGGAGGCCTGCCCGCGCTACGTCTTCCGGCTCGTGGTCGCCACTCAAGAACTTTCCTGCCCCAGCGGCCATCAGCTCTTCGAGCTATGTGCCCCGCCCACTGCCACTTTATTTTAGCGATTCTACGGGCTATGTCTGTCACGAATAGAATAAAAACGTTTATTTGCCTGCCACATTAAAATAAATACACAGTAAATGTTACAGAATTAGTCATAATTATAATATGGTCAGAGTCAACATTACAGAATCAGTCAAAAATACATTTAGTCAGAAATAGGGCATCTGCAAAATCACCTAAGCAACGTTGCAACAGCAAAAAGGTCCTTGCATCATCTTGTGTCAATCAGAAATAGAAGATCCACAGGACAAAGTTAATGACATAGCCTGCAAACTTGCCCAACTTAAGTGACTGTGGGCGGGGCATATACAGCTCGTACTAGGTAATGGTTAGAATGAGAAAGAAAAGTGAAATGTCTTAAGTAGAGACCACAAACTGGAAGACGCAATATCGGTGGAACGATGATCTAGCGAAGCACTTAAATGAGGGAAGCGCAGGACCATCATCGTCATCATTTCAGCTAAAGGGCGTCCACTGCTGAACATAGGCCTCCCCCAATGATTTCCACATCGCCCGGTTGGTAGCGGCCTACATCCAGCGATTCCCTACTACCTTTATGAGGTCTTTGGTCCACCTTGTGGACAAAAGTGTTAGTGAAATCTGAATACAGAAATACAGGTAGGGGAGAAAATTAATAAAAAATTCGTTCGTTCGTTTCTTTCAGCCGCAAGACGTCCACTGTTGGACAAAGGCCTCCTCCAAACGAGGATCGATGCGAGCGGCGCAGGATCGGTCTTCGTGGAAATAAGAAAGTATTCATGATATTTTGAAAATTCAGTTAATAAAAGGCTGAAAAATTAAAAGGTATTAAACTCACCGGCCATCGTAGAGGTGGGCATGTTCGAAGGCATGCCTCCTGACCCACTCGCAGCCGCAGGTAGCTGTTTGTTTATGATCTGTGTTATCTTCTGCTGCTGTATTACCTGGACAAATACACATTATGATCATATTTCACTGATTTTGAACACGACGAAACAAGTTTTATACAGGGTGCTACTTTGCATTCTTGCCATATTTACAGAGGTAACTTTACAAAACCCCATTTTTATACTTTCCACAATATTATTCCATAGCCCCGATTAAAACGTTCCAATTTCAACATCAACAATAATAATATAATTTACCGATCCATTCCATTCCCATGCCCCTCGTAACATATTACTGGCACTGAATACAAAACAGTAAAAAAATTATGCCCTAAAATTTTGTTTTTTAAGAATATTTTATTTTATCGACAATCTGTTAAACACCACTTATTATCATAACGCATGCACATCACTTGTTGGCGATGGCGATGGAGACTTACTGCAAAAGTAAATTTACCAAAAACTTAGTGTGCTTTTCTTTATGGGAGTCTCTTGTTTATCTAAAAAGCTTTCCGCCCGCGTGGAATTTTGTCTGTCACAGAAAAACTTTATCGCGCGCGTCCCTGTTTCAAAAACCGGGATAAAAACTATCCTATGTTCTTTCCCGGGACTCAAACTATCTCTATGCCAAATTTCATCAAAATCGGTTGCGAGGTTTAAGCGGGAAAGCGTAACAGACAGACAGACAGACAGACAGACAGAGTTACTTTCGCATTTATAATATTAGTTGGGATAATAGATATTGATCCCCACTTTTATCTCTGTGAATATGGCAAGGATGCAAAGTAACACCGTGTGCAATTAGGGTTACCGTATTTGTGTTCACTATTTGGCGCCAATGACGTGACATGACTTTACTTGACAGTGGCGCCATCGTAATGAGTGCAAATGTTATACTCTTTCTACCATCAGTTGGCGCCTCTGTCTTAGCAGCTACGAGTCTAGCTTCGAGCAACTGGACTTAACAGAGGCGTCAACTGATGCGTGTTAAATCCTTAGCTGACATCGTCAACTGGCCTTGGCATAGCTGGGCAACATTATTATGTGTGTATAAGGGCCCTTTCTATTGCGACTTTTTGCAGTGATAAAATCGCGATTCAGTCGCGATATAGCATCGATACAGTTGCAAAACATCTCCCTTTATACACACGCGTTATTAAAAGCACAATACAATCGCGATGCAATTTCGCGACTGTCAAACGAGCGTTTGTATATCGCTGCAAAAAGTCACCGCGACAAACTCCTAGTAAATAGTATATTACCTTCCTAAGTCTGTCCACGAACGTGGCCTGGTTATTGGGGATGAAGCCCAGGTACACCTTCTTGTCGGGCGTGTATAGCAGGATCAGCACTTTGATGTCGCACTGCGGTGGTGACGACATCAGCGAAAAGTGCACACAGCCCGCCTGGAACGAAATGACATAGATTAGTAGACAGAACACACTTTACCGTATACCAAACAAGGCAAGAAAATAAAAATAAAAAAGAAATACAAAATATACGGCATAATTTTGACGGTCTTATCATTAAAACGTGCTTAGGATTTAGTGAACATTCCTAAAGAATTGCGAAAGTTGAAATCTGATTTTGTGAAATACATTATCGAGTTAAAAACTGTATTGGGCCCTCATTTTTCACATAAAGGGTTGAGTTAGGCCCACCTGTACCTCTGATAAACTATCAACACTACAGAATAAAAATGTATGCCCAATGCGAAAGTAATGCATAACGCTTGTGAAAACAAGATAGGTACTATGGGAATGTATGGGAATCTATGGGAATGTCGACCAAATCCAAAGCTTCTGGTTAGTTAGAGAGGTTCGCGCTCCTGCAATTGGGACTAAATGACCTGATCATCATTGTAACACCTTGTATTATAACCCCTCTCTCAAGTCGCGCTCCTGCAATGAAGACTGAAAGATCTGATGAAGTAGATGATGGTGGATACTCACAAACCCGTTGACCATGACCTTGGTGAGCGCGTTCAGCGCCTCGCTTGCAGAGGATCACACTCCTGCAATGAAGACTAAGACCCTAAGGTGAAACGCAACTGCAACGAAACTGCAACTGCTAGTTACTTTTGAGTTGCATCTAAATTTCTGCCATAGCGTCCGTTGAGAGACCACACATGACGCGACCAGTTTGAAACTTCCAGTTTCAGTTTCATTCATCAGAAAGTTGCAGTTTCGTTGCAGTTGCGTTTCACCGTCTGTTCTGGGCCTAAGTGACCGGACGATGATGGTGGATACTCACAAACCCGTTGACCATGACCTTGGTGAGCGCGTCCAGCGCCTCGCTCGGCTGCAGGTGGAACAGCACGGACTTGCTGTCCTTGAGGTACTGGCCGCCGATGTTGCTGATCAGCTGCTTGGGCGTCAGCTGTCAGCTTCATAAAGGCACGACGATGGTCTACCCTTTCCGCATGGTGCTGCCAGAGTAGGATAGAACCACTCCTAATCTTCACGTGGATGTTTTAAGAGACACTAAGGGATAAATATGCGGACATCACGCCACCCCAATTTATCTAGTCAGCGTGGGAAGTAGACCAAATCCTCCATTAGCTTCTGGTAAATTAGAGAGGCTCGCACTCCTGTAATTGGGACTAAATGACCTGATGAAATGACTACTAAGTAGTACTAGTATATCCTGTATTTGCTCCTAGTAAATTAAAGAGACTTGTTTTCCTGCTGTAGAGACTAGATGACCTTATGATGTTGCTGATTCCTTGTATTATACACTTTCTCTAAGGTGTGCTCTTACTACAGAACTATATGACCTAAAGCACCTTTAACACCTTTTATTTATGCACCCTCTCTCAAGTCGCGTTCCTGCAATGAAGACTGAAAGATCTGATGAAGTAGATGATGGTGGATACTCACAAACCCGTTGACCATGACCTTGGTGAGCGCGTCCAGCGCCTCGCTCGGCTGCAGGTGGAACAGCACGGACTTGCTGTCCTTGAGGTACTGGCCGCCGATGTTGCTGATCAGCTGCTTGGGCATCAGCTGCATCAGCAGCTTGTTGGGCCATGTGTCCACCTTCAGTTCCGGCTCCACTTCTTTGGAGCCCGCCGACACCTGCATTCAATTTCAAATTAAATATTCTTATCGTGGCATATTGATTAATAAGGACGAAAAAGACTAACCTCTTACCTACGGGAGGCACCTATAGTTGCCAAGTCAAAAGTCACTTCTCAATACGGGTGGCATCTATTGTAATTTTGGCAAAGCCAATACTAAATCACGGTTTACGAAAAAAAAAAACAATAAAATTGCAAATTAAGTGTAAAATGCGCTTGTAATTATGAACCTACATTAGTTGCAGAATATAATATTCCAAATTTCAATACCGTAAGTCTCATAAATTTTAAAATATCTTGATGTTAAGTGGAGCAAACAATTTTATAGGTTAAAATACCCCGTATTGAGAGGCGACTTTGGTTTCCAAGGGCCCGTAGGTAAAGGGCTAAGGGACTGCGCACATTATCGGGCCGGCACGGTAGGAGATCCATAGGCATTCCTATATGCGCTCGCACACCTATGCCAATTTTGCCGCGGCATCCTTATGCATGTCTAGACATCCCGAAGGAACCTTAGGCATTCCAAAATTTATAAAGCATTCGCTCGTGCGGTTATGGTCAACAACGTACATGTCAAAATGTTTAGTATACCGACGCATTCCACCGACGCTTCACGAAGGCTGCCGACCCACGGCGAACGTGGGAGATGTTACCCGATCAGCGCGCATTGCGGCAAACACATTTTTGTTAACAAAACAGGCCACGCCCACATTTGATTAGATGTTTCGTAAATGTTACAAAACAAAACAGGGTCGCAGGTCGCGAGAGACCCGGCATAAGCTATTGTATGAATCCATAGAAATTGTAGTCTTCTGCTAGTCACCGGGCGCCTTGCCTTTCTCCATCCACTCCAGCACCCTGGGGCGCCGAGCCGGGGACTTAACGGGCTCGAGCCGGGAACGTAACGAGCCCGGGCCGGGGACGAGCACTGACCTGGCACGGCAGATGGCGCGTGGTCTTCTGTTGGTCGCCGGGCGCCTTGTCCTTCTCCATCCACTCCACACGCTGCGGCGCCGGGCTGGGGACGTGGCGGGGCCGAGTCGAGGACGTGACGGGGCCGAGCCGGGGACGTGACGGGGAAGAGCACTGACCTGGCACGGCAGATGGCGCGTGGTCTTCTGCTGGTCGCCGGGCGCCTTGCCCTTCTCCATCCACTCCAGCACGCCGCTCCAGACGAAACTGCGCTGCGGCGTCGGCGCCGGTGACGTGGACGGGCCCGGGCTTAGGATGCCCATGCGACTACCCATGGCACCCTGCGGCAGAAAATAAAAATTAAAACAACCCTTTTTATGGCGAAATCGGATAAAAAAACTGACAGCATAAACTGAAGTTAGGGGACTAACGAATTATGCTCGTCAGAACGAGCTTCTGTAGCTAAAATTCACTAAGCAGTTTAGGCTACAGAGCCTGCCAAAGAAATATACATAATAACGAAGACGAAGAGGTGCCCTAGTTACTTGCCTGCTATGGCGGCAGCGGCTGGTACAACGGTTGAGCGAGCTTTATTGTTATCGTGTGACTTGATAGTGTCACACGTCTGCCATTTGCGCTACACGATTGCCGTTTGCGCTAATCATTGGCTAGTTACCTGCTGCAACGAAAGCTGCGGGTACAATATCTGGGCGAGAAAAACCGCTATTGCCGCTACACGGCTGCCATTGCACTACTAGTGCGCAGAGTTTTTGATGTATATCAGCTGTAATAGTTTCAAGACGCTATACGCTGCTATAAGCGCTATAAAAGGAAGGAACTACAAAACTGTTATTAGCCCTACAAGACTACTAGTAGATACTCACCTGCTATGTGGCTGCGTGAGGAGCGCGGTTGATGGCGCTATAAAATCGCTATTTACGCTACTAATTACTTACCTGCTGTGGCGGGGGCGGCGGGTAGGACGGCTGTGCGAGCTGCGTGAGTAGCGCCGAGTTGTTGGTGTATATGGGCTGGCGCGCGGGCGCTATAAGACTGCTGATGGCGCTACACGGCTGCTGTTGACGCTACACGGTTGTCGTGCGAGCGGCACGAGGGTTAGTTCTCACCTGCTGTGGCGGGGGCGGCGGGTAGGACGGCTGTGCGAGCTGCGTGAGTAGCGCCGAGTTGTTGGTGTATATGGGCTGGCGCGCGGGCGCGGGCCAGTTGGGCGCGCGAGGGGCGCCGCGGGGGAATAGCGGCGCGGGGGGGCGCACCACTTGGGTGCCGGTCCTGCCTTGCCTGTTATGGAGATGTTAAGTTTATTAAAATGAGTGCCGGCCCTGCCTTGCCTGTGTAGAGGTCATTCATCATTCATTCATCAACAGCCCTTTACAGTCCACTGCTGGACTATGAGCCTCCTCCACTATAGTGGAGGGTTTTGCCATAATCACCACGCTTGGCAGGCGGGTTGGAGATCGCAGTTTAAAAGATTGATGTTTTTCAGAGAGCGCTGCTGCCCATACTGGAGGTCATAAGTTTATTAAAATACAGAAAAAACGCCTTTCCAAGCAGTCTGACTGGCCTGGCGCACCGCAAGGATTCCGGCCCAGCCTTGCCTAATATAATTATTATTGAATAAATAAAAAAATAAGATAAAAACAAGCCTTAGGCTTGATTTCCTCCTACGCTGACGTCGGTCGCGTACATCGGTCGAGCGTACGAATAAACACAATGTTCTATGAAGCACCGCACTGCAACGCAGTCGTCAGCGGCAGATGATTACATAGCTTGCTAGTGTTCACAAATGCAGACAGTCAAAAGGAGGCATCAATGACTAATTTTTTTGTTGGTAATAGGTATTTGATGCCTCCGACTACCCAATCCTAATAATCCCCCTGTATAGTCAGGCCTATCGCATCGGCACAGTACCGATCACTGACGTATGTTAACGAAACGGTGCTTGACTTTGCGACAAGCTGTAAATACTTGGTTATGCTGTAAAAAATATTAGCTAAGCTGTATGAATCATTACTCACAGGTCCACATCCCCCTGTATAGTCAGCCCTATCGCATCGGCACAGTGCCGATCTCTGACGTATGTTAACGAAACGGTGCTCGACTCTGAGACAAGCTGTAAATATTTGGTTATGCTGTAAAAAATATTAGCTAAGCTGTATGAATCATTACTCACAGGTCCACATCCCCCTGTATAGTCAGCCCTATCGCATCGGCACAGTGCCGATCTCTGACGTATGTTAACGAAACGGTGCTCGACTCTGAGACAAGCTGTAAATACTTGGTTATGCTGTAAAAAATATTAGCTAAGCTGTATGAAACATTACTCACGGGTACACATCCCCCTGTATAGTCAGCCCTATCGCATCGGCACAGTGCCGATCACTGACGTATGTTAACGAAACGGTGCTGGACTCTGTAAATATTTGGTTAAGCTGTAAAAATTAAAGCTAAGCTGCATGAATCATTACTCACGGGTACACATCCCCCTGTATGTCTGGCACGGGCGGCGGCGCAGGGCTTGGCGGTCGTTCCTTCAAACTGTATCCGCGAAGCAGGACTAGGTGGCGCGGGTCCTGCCCCCAAGCACATAAAACATTTCAAATATGTCTAAAGCCCGGTCGCCGAGCACGTAGAATTTCGTCCAATGACCCCAAGCTATCCATCCTTAACGCTCGCGCGTAATTATGTTGCTGTCGCGCTCGCACACTAACTGCGGCCGGCCGTCGCACAGTCGCGACAGCAATATAATTACACGCGAGCGATAAGGATGGGCTTGGGGTCATTGGACGAAATTCTACGTGGAAATCTTACAAAAAGGTTCATTAAATTCTAACGCTCGTATTCACAAACATTACTCTGAGGTCTCACAGTGCGCGTGGACGCACAGGGTGATTCATGAACCAATCACAGAGCTCTATTCAACGCTATGCGTTCGATTTGCTGCTTCACTTAAGCAAGCATCGTTTGTGAATACGGGCGAAAGTTCTGTCATATGATTAAGTAACAGTAGTCCCAATGGCCTACCTTAGCATAGTTCCTTTGTTGCGCCGCTAATAGTTCTCCCCCGGCTAACTCGTATAGCGCCGTCAGTGCTGTGATGCGCTTGGACGCCGCTATCGATAAGTGTACGCCGCGTTCAGCTAACAGACGCGCGGCTTGCTCGACTGTGGCTGGCGCCCCTAAAGAAATAATTGAGGGTTGTCATTTATTTATTTGTTTTTAGACTATTGCACACACATAAAAATGATAAGTACAAAAAGGCGAGCTTAATGCCATTAGGTTACGATAAAGAATAGCGTCGTTAGTGCTGTGATGCGCTTGGACGCTGCTATCGATAGGTGTACGCCGCGTTCAGCTAACAGACGCGCGGCTTGCTCGACTGTGGCTGGCGCCCCTGGAGAAATATACGTCATTAAGTTACGACAAGCGAAAACGTATAGCGCTGTAGTGCTGTGATACGCTTGGACGCCGCTATTGATAAGTGTACGCCGCGTTCGGCTAACAGACGAGTCGCTTGCTCGAATAATTGGGGATTGTCATTACGGTTACGATATAAAATAGCGCTGCTAGTGCTGTGAGTTATAACGTCAGTAGGTTACGACAAACAATATCGAATAGCGTCGTTCTTGCTGTGATGTGCTTGGACGCTATCGAGACCAGATGAAGCGCGTCTGGATTGGAGACGTTAAAAATTACCGTAATCGGGGCTCTGTCCTATCGCATCGGCACAGTGCAGATCACTGACGTATGTAAACGAATCGGTGCTCGACTCTGAGACAAGCTAAATTACACGATATTGTTGATGACAATGGCAGACATATTTTGAAAACCAGTTCGAAGAAAACTTTCTGTACGTAGTACATATTATTAAGGACGTCGCCCGGAAAGGGATCGTAATCATATCAACTCAAGGCGGTCAGTATTCTTTGTATGAAACTCCATATTGCAACGCACACTTATCCGCACTGTAACGTAAACGACTCGCCTCGCAACTGTAAGGCCTCAGCCTCGAATTTAGCTGGCAGCGGCGCGGGATCGGGGCGGGCAACGCAGATCCGTTCTCGAAACAAGCAGGCAGCTCGCGCGGCGCTTTAGCGGCGAAGTGTTGTGTTCGGGGTTGTGTTGTCGAGATATTTGTTTTTATTCGCAAACGAAATGTCTGAACAACCGCGACAATTTTATTTCGATTCAGCTGCCCGCTCGTTGCCCGCTCCCGCGCCGCTGTTTTCGAGAACCGGTCTATTTGATTTTACGCATAAGATCCTGCCGCTCCCGCGCCGCTACCGCCGCCGCCCCGCTGCCCGCTAAATTCGAGGCTGAGGCCTAAGCGCGCGAAAGGCGATCACAGGTAGCGAAAGGCAATACTGTGTTGATCTCTTTCAAAGTTGATAAGTCTGCTATGAGCTTCTGTGCTATTTTCCACCAACCTGGAGGCACCAGCCCGCCGGCATACGCCGAGTACGGCGGCGAGCAACACAGCAGCAGGATGTGCAGAGGGATGTCGGTGCGGCCGAGCTAGTCCAAGCACGCCAGCGCCGTCAATAGGGCACATGGCCCGCAATTAGAACTTTATTCTCTACACAATAAGAACTATTTTCAGACCTGTTCATCTCCCAGATTGGGCACCGAAAACAAAACGTGGGCGGCGTACGCACCGCGTATAATCCACAAGGAATGCTTCCAATTAGAACTTTATTCTCTACACAATAAGAACTATTTTCAGACCTGTTCATCTCCCAGAGTGAGCACCGAAAACAAAACGTGGGCGGCGTACGCACCGCGTATAATCCACAAGGAATTCTTGAGCGAGTAATGAGTGACGTACGCTTACGTATTCTACATTTATTTAATTGTAAAAAAAAATTCGCTATGGAAAGAAAAACAAAATACGCGTGTTATGCGCTAGATGACGATACAGTAGCCTCTTGTAGCAGTCAGCCCTATCGCATCGGCACAGCGCCGATCACTGACGTATGTAAACGAAACGGTGTTCGAATCTGAGACAAGCTACATTACACCATATTGTTGACGACATTTTTTTAAATACCTTCGAGAAGAAAACTTTCTGCACGTAGTACGTATTCCGTGCTATCGATTCTCTACATGGTCTGCAATTCGAACTGTATTCTCTACACGATAAGAACTAAAGCCCGGTCTCTGAGCACGTAGAATTTTGTCCAATGACCCCAAGCTACCCATCCTTATCGCTCGCGCTTAATTATGTTGCTGTTGCGCTTGCACACTCACTACGGGCACCGCACAGTCGCGACAGCAATATAATTACGCGCGAGCGATAAGGATGGGTAGCTTGGGGTCAATGGACAAAATTCTACGTGCTCAGCGACCAGACTATAGTTTCCACGAACCTGGAGGCACCAGCCCGCCGGCATACGCCGAGTACGGCGGCGAGCAACACAGCAGCAGGATGTGCAGAGGGATGTCGGTGCGACCGAGCTCGTCCAAGCACGCCAGAGCCGTTGACAGAGCCTCTGTCACACACGCTCGATTTTCAGCGTGTCCCGTAATGAACCTACGATTACAGAAATAATTGTTAGGTCAAGTCATTAACATACAGGACGATTTGAATTCAGGGGTTATAGCGCAGGTCATTTGCAACATTTCTGTATATGGACACCAAAATGAGATAACAAGAAAAGACAATATATTAAAACTAGATACATTTCAAATTTTATGCCTTTTTTTGGCAGTGAAATATAACTGTAGTTTAACTAAATTCATGTTTACAATTCAGAATCTACAATACATTTACTATTCTTTAATTAGCAACATAATTCACTCACTCGATGTTATCTACACATTGTAAAACTTCTTGGGGGCATGTGAACGGTCCAAACGTGTCAACCGGAAGGCCGGGGTGGCAATCTGCTGACTTGTATGTCACTACAGCGTACATGGAACCACTGCCACCGCCTTCCTCTAGCGCACCTCCATGGAAATATCTGGAAAAATTATATAATAAATGATAACAATTTAAAAGTTCTTACTCTTGTAAAAGATACTTTTTTAGTTTGTTCTTGGGCGTATAGGTTGGTGGAGAAGAATGTCATATGGAATCAGGTCTATATTTTTGTGACTTTGCAAAATATAAATAAAGAGCTTTATTTTATTTATTTATTTATATCAAGGAAACAAACAATTTTGATATACAGACAAATAATCACACAAAAAATAGGACAGAAATCAGGAAAGTATTTTATTTTCATTAGAGCCCCTATGGCTGTGTGTGCGTACATATTATGTTATCAGGATTGAATACCACCACAAGAATCACAAATATGTATACTCATAACTAACAATAAAATTAAGTATAAAAATCAGTTATGAATTGAATCATTCTTATGATCAATTAATGGCTTATGTGGTTAGATACTGCATCTAACCACGTTATCAAGTGAATACTAATGTTGTAACAGTTATAGAGATGAACTCATAATTAATTGACCAAAAAACCCATTATGTAATGTAAAGGCTTCTATCTATATATATAAAAGAAAGTCGTGTTAGTTACTCCACTTATAACTCAAGAACGTCTGAACCGATTTAGCTGAAAATTGTCAGGGAGGTAGTTTAGAGCCCGGAGAAGGACATAGGATACTTTTTATCCCGTTCGAAATAAAAAAAGTCTGCTTATTTATTTCCATTAAGGCGGAACAAAGAAGTCTGCTTATTTATTTCCATTAAGGCGGAACAAAGTTCGCCGGGTCAGCTAGTTTTCTACTAAAANAACTCAAGAACGTCTGAACCGATTTAGCTGAAAATTGTCAGGGAGGTAGTATAGAGCCCGGAGAAGGACATAGGATACTTTTTATCCCGTTCGAAATAAAAAAAGTCTGCTTATTTATTTCCATTAAGGCGGAACAAAGAAGTCTGCTTATTTATTTCCATTAAGGCGGAACAAAGTTCGCCGGGTCAGCTAGTTTTCTACTAAAAGCCTGTATTGAAAGGAGATCTCTTTGACCAACTTATTGAAAACATGTAGTGTATTAACAACTGATTTAGATGATTTCAAACAAGGAAAGTAAGCAGATAAATTAGTTATTTATGTGTAGCCAGCACTTACTGATACCATGACAAAATATTTATTTAGTAGTGTGTCTAATAGTATACATAGAAGTGTATGTGTGTATTATTAAGCTCAAAATATACAGATCAATATTATTTAGAGGTAGGTAGGAGGTGAATGGTAATCAAGTACCTAGTTTTGTTGGTGTTATAGAAATAAATATTTTACATCATTACAGCATAATAAAAGTGGATACTATTTAAAGGTTAAAAATGTTTTTTTTAATTGGTAAACACAATAGGGTACTTACTCCAGTGTGGGTACAATGTAATTCGTTTTAAGTTCACTGATGTAGGCCCCATTGGCTGCTGTGGCTTCTATGACAAAGATGACTTCAGCCTGTACAGGCGTGTCTGGCGCGTTGGCCACCATTGATATATTCATTTAAACCACTTTACAAAATAATTTTATGAAAGAAACTTCTTTTGGTTCACCAACAACCAAGCATTCGACAAATAATTTCTTATTTTGACCACAGAGCACGAAATATTTTGACATTGACATTAGTGTTAGTGTAGTGATGTAGATAGGTAGGTAAACGTAACTTAAGTTATCGATTATTAGAAGAGGTTAAAAAATGCGAATTTATATTTAATTAAATATGCAATATTCATCTGTGGGTCATTTAAAAAAAATCGCATTTTGCATTTTGTCTAGGGGATTTAGGCTTAATAACAAAAAAACCTACTCGTAACCGTAACACAAGCATATTTAGCTTAGCGCAGGGTATTTCAAGAAAAAAAAAGCAGAATTATATCCATAGAAGATTTTAATCTCACACGCATTAAACAACGTGCTCCTTTTGATTTCCTGGAATTCTAGGATATTAATAAATAAGACAACTTCAAATCGATTTTTTTTTTGTTTGAAAAAATATTTCATACAAAATAATTCGCCATAGTTAAATAACCGTGTAAAAACACTGACGTAAGAAATATCAATATCATATTATTTTTACTGAAATAAAATGATGTACATACATACAAAAAGATAAGATTACTGGATGATAATTCAAAACTCTTAAGATTGATGATATTTTAGAAAATGTACTTACGACATTTAAAAAATTAACAGGAAAAAAAAATGGAGCACGTTGTATGATTATCGTTTTTTTGGACTGTCTCAATTTATCGATAATGAAGCAATCGCAATCATATCACTAATTTGTCACTAGACAAATTAAAAAAAATATCACTATTATTTTACCGTTTTACCATCCAATTTATTTTTTAGGTATATTTTTACGATATAATTATTGCACCAATTAAATGCAACCTTGCAACGAATTACAATGTCATTTGTGATTTCAATTCGTCAATATAAAATAATCACGGTGCAGTTTAAAATAGTTTTGATAGATTAATATTAATTTTGACAGCCGTTAAAATAGACACACATGACCGCAAAATAATTTGTGCTGGCTGTTTGTCAGTTCTTGCCAAAAATAAACTAAATAATTTTCTTATCGCATTTAGCACAACAGCAACGTTCCTGATAATCTTTGAAGGATTCGAGTTATCAGCTCCCGAGTTGTGCATTGAAATTGGCTCTCAAAAAGCAATATCGTAATAACATAAATATGGAAGTTTCTCTACGCTCTTTGCGATTGATCAACCGGCTTTTTCGAAAACCTATTGGAATAACTCGAAGATACAAGAGCGTGAACTATGCAGCTGTAAAAGAAGATGTGAACACCGATTTGCTGAATTCATTCAACCGAGATACCAAGGACGGTGGGTGATGTAACTTATTTTAAGTTGACATAACCTTTAGCCAAATTCAACCTTGAAAAAGTGATAAGTAATATTAGTAATAATCAATGATATTATATAAAAACAAAAGCAGATATGTTATAAGCGCTCGCGCTGTGAATACTCAAATACGTCCCAATTGGGACGTCTTGTGTTTAGTCTTCGTGTGGCCTGCGTCGTGCGCAATCGCGTGCGTACCACACCGTAAGTTCCTGTTCTTACCAAAATAAATAAAAAATGCCATCGTGTGTGTTTCGAAAGTGTACCAATTATGACTCTAAAGTAAACAAAATACAAGGGATCTCTTACCACATGTGATTATGCAAAATTATTTAGTATTTATATTTTCAATTATTTATGCAAACAATCAAGACGCCATGCGCCATGTTCAAGTTAAGAAAGAGAAAGCGATCTTGTTTTGACGTTAGAGCGATAAGGATGCGTGCGCTGCGGACATAGATTAGTTAGTGCAGAATCGTTAAAACTATAGCTATCTCTTTCATTTGCGTGCTATTTCGTATCTTTTGTTTCACTTATCAGTTACATTTGTCAATGTGTGCAATTTGGAATAGCTCGGCACGGATTCAAATCGTAATTTCTATGAACGTAACATATCTATAGTTCTTTAATATCATTGGTAATAGGACTATGTATTTAATTATTATCAACAATGTATTTGGCGTCAGACCTTGCTATTGAAGATCTTAAAACTGACCAATGACCAATAATATTAATGCATAAGTATTTTTGATAATAATTGTTCTTATCTTCACTCCCATAGCAAATGCTTATTTCCTTATCATATCAAGTATGTATGAACATAATAAAGACAATAATATTTATAGTCTTTGTGTGACTGCATAATTTCGCTTTTCATGTTGAAAATTGTGAAATTCTATGATGATGATGATGACATATTTTTTACAAAATTTTTCCTTACTGCTCTGCCCCTATTGGCTGTAGGGTGATATTATAGTCTAAAGCCTTCCTCGATAAATAGGCTATCAAACTGTACTGTACTTTTTGAGATTAGTATGTTCAAGCAAGCAAACTCATGTTCTTTGCTCATGCGGCCCGCTTATGAGCAAAAGAAGTATCCATCTCGGGCGACACATCATGCACCCGGATGAGATAGCAGATATCACGCTCCAAAGAATCTGGAAATTTATAGACTCAACGGGACTAAGCAGTGAACTCTAAACACAAGGCCTGCCACAATAGAAAACCTGGTCGAGTTGCCGCAAGTAAAGGCCCAAAAACTAATAATAAAAAAAGCAAACTCTTTAGCTTAAGATTCAAATTCGGAAATACTATTATTTTCAGGCGGTGCGGTACCAGTGTTCCGTCGAGCTCTCCTGTTTCCCACTCGTGTTGCGTTACAAGATGAAGTTGGCATTTACACTTACGCAGGATTGCACCAGGCAGCCACATCCCTCAGCAATGAGATTGCTGCACAACTTGGTAAGAATTATGAAAAATATGGCTTCTGAAGATTTGTACTATCTCTAAATGTTATCATGATAATACATACTATTGCATCTATATCATAAATATTATTATGTTGCAAATTCCAATTGAAAGTCAACATAAACTCTTGAATGATGGGAATACCAAAGGTAAAAAAAAAAATATATTGGACCCAATTTTACTTGGGTTTGTTCATGACTGGGCAAGTAGGCATACTGAATACTATTAATATGATTGTTTTATTTATTAATGACTTTTCTTCAACAGTTGGGGAGTCGGAGCGGACAATTGCATACATGTGCAACAACGATGCGTCACACGTCATCGTCCAGTGGGCCATATGGATGACAGGAAATATTGGTATGTCAAATTGACCGTCTAAAATGTATACACTAATGCTTAAAGATCGTTTCATTCACGAAGACGCGCCCCACCTTTCTTACGCTAATTTTTTAGTGCACACGCACACTACATAATTACGCTTGGATTGCTCGGATCAAACTCCCCGCACCCCGCTTTCCCTCGATCAAAAATTGGTCGGCGCGTCTTCGTGGAAGCAACAATCTATATGTATAACCACCCAAGAGCTGTGTTTTTAAAGTGTTTGAATATCAATTCAATTATATCAAAATCTGTACACCATGTTTTATTTACATTTCAAATTAATTAAAACTTTATTTATTTACTTCCACAGCCGTACCTCTAACGCCAATCCACCCGCCAGCCATGCTCAAATACTACCTAGGCGATTCCGGTGCCAGCCTAGCTATCTGCACCCCAGAATACGAAAAACTACTCCGTCCCATAACCCTGGAACTGTCTAAACCTTTGCTCATCACTGGCAAAGACAAGGAAATAACAGCGCAGTTGTATCAACCGAATAGCGCGTTTTTAAAATCCAAATCAGAGGATACGTTGATCGATGTGGGCAAGACTAACGCTTGGTACGGAAGCGCTGATGCTTTCATTATTTATACAAGTGGTAAGAATGGTTTTTTTTTTGTGTAAATCATCATAGCTTTAAAGAATATCGATAGTATCAATACTTTTAGTTTTTTTCCCCTTATGGCAATTAGTACTTAATTTGGTATGGTATTTCTAACACTTTGTCGCATGCGACGTGCTAAATTTTTGTCACGTTCGAAACTGTTAAAGTATTCCATAGCACATTAATATTCGATACAGAAGTAAGGTCTGTTACTGATAAACTGATATCAATATTTGATTATCAACATCAACGCCGCTTCCATGGCAATGACAATCCTCTTTTGAGAGTCAATATCTACACTAATATTCTATAGAAGAAAACTTTGTTTGTTTGTTTGGTTGTAATGAATAGGCTCAAAAACTACTGGACCGTTTTTAAAAATTATTTCACCATTCGAAAGCTACATTATCCACGAGTAACATAGGCTATATTTTATTTTGGAAAAAAATAGGGTTCCGTAAAATATTTGGGTTTTTCGGAGTCCACGCGGGCGAAGCCGCTGGCGGAAAGCTAGTTTATAATATAATATATTGCAGGTACAACAAACAAGCCTAAAGGAGTGGTCTGGACACACAGTATGCTGGCAACACAGATAGCCTCGCTCCATTCTGCCTGGCAATACTCCGGTGATGACGTAGTATTACATTCTTTGCCACTGCACCACATACATGGACAGCTCAACTCTTTGAATGCATCATTAGCTGCAGGAGCAAGGTAAGGACATATGGAATTATTTATCCCTTTCACTCGTAGTAGCAGCCCCAATTGGATGAAAGAGACAGGTAGCATCGCTCATCTCCGCCTGGCAATACTCCGGCGATGACGTAGTATTACATTCTTCTTTTTTTTTATCCACAACGAGGAAGCTCTTGGCCTGTATCACACCTGATGGTAAGTGATGATCAGGCCGAAGGTGGAAGCGAGCTTCACCCGGAATCCTCAACCACTGAGGAACTGGCTATCTTACCTCTAACTGCTGGAATACAACAATGCTGTTAACATTGTTGTTATGGCGACAGACTTAGGTAAGATGGTGGTAGCTAGCCAGGCGGACTTAGAACAAGCCCAACCACCAACCAAACCGAACAGAAAAATCTGCCCCCACTGGGAATCGAACCCGGGACCTCTGCGTCTGAAGCAGGTGGTCTTACCACTAGACCACAGAGGCGGTTAAACTTTGCCACTGCACCACATACATGGACAACTCAACTCTTTAAACGCCTCTCTGGCTGCTGGAGCCAGGTATGTTAAGCTTATTATTTTATGTATATCTCTTTCACTCATGCCAACAGCTCTAACAACTTAGTGAGACAGACATATTACCTCTTGAGACAGTGTTCTGGTGTGGTATTACAATAGCAGCAGCTGACTTTGAACGCATCTCTGTTAAAATTCCAGCCCTGGTGCTAGATGAGATCATGTTGAACTTATTTCTCGTTTTCGCTGAGTCAATAGCCCAATGATTCCCTTTGTTTTATACATTTTTAGCTAACTAAATTCACTTACCTACTGCTTTTTTATTTCAAAACAAAAGTATTATTATTATTGGTTTTTGGGCCTTCATTTGCGCCAGCTCGACCAGGTTTGATCTATTGTGGCAGCCCTTGTGTTTAGAGTTCACTGCTTAGTCCCGTTGAGTCTATAAATTTCCAGATTCTTTGGAGCGTGATATCTGCTATCTCATCCGGTTGCATGATGTGTCGCTCGAGATGGATAAAAACCGAACTAGGTTATCACGGCTAAAATTTGTCTTGGAATTATTCATTGAAAGAAAGAAAGAAAGAAAAGAAAGAAAAATATTTTTATTTAGTCCAAACATTGACTACCCAATCGACTAATTTTTCTTGCAGAATCCGTATGCTACCTCAATTCGTATCTCACAACGTCTGGGCTCGCCTACTCGGCATGGGCGAGCGCGAAGAAGCCAAAGTGACTGTATTCCACGGCGTTCCGGCAATGTACGCACGCCTGCTCGCCGACCACGAGCGAATGTTCGCGGCCGCGCGCACGGCCGATTATGTTCGTCATACGCTCGCGGCGCGCATGCGACTTATGTGCGCCGGTTCTGCGCCGCTGCCTGATACACTGGCCAATAAATGGGAAGAGGTTAGTTAATAGTTTATGTATTTACATCAATAAGATATTTATATTATTTGTTATTTAATGTTTAATGGTGTGTGAAGCATCTTTTTTTCGCCAATGTCGAATGAAAATTGCCCTATGATGAATCAATTTTATTCTTTGTCGACGTAATATAATTGTAATTATTTTGTGTGGCAATACCGATCGGTGACTTCATTATTTATTTTGCATTTCATAAAAATTAAAATAGAATTGGCACAATGCATCTTTATCGCTACGGAGTAATCTCTTCGAGAAACCCCAGAGAGAGCACAGTTGTTTCACTTAAAAAGGGGCACTTACGGAACGGATAAGGTTTCGCGAATACACTGTAGTGGCGTGTCGATAGATGTCGCCACATTACAATATTATTTGCTTTTTCAGATATCCGGCGTGCGTTTACTAGAGCGCTACGGCATGACAGAAGCTGGCATGGCGCTTAGCAACCCCTACCGGCCGGTCGAAGGACGCATGGTGGGGTGCGTAGGGACCCCACTGCCAGGGATATCGGCTAGACTGGCAGTGAAACACGAAAGCAGCGACGTGTTGGAGCCTTTGGTCACTGTGGAGTCCCCAGTGCCTGATACACAGGTAAGATGATTATTAATGTGTATATTAATGTCTTGTCGTGGTGGGGGGTGAGACTAAAATGTCTATTGATGTTGTGGTGGGGTGCGTAGGAACCCCACATATCAGCAAGACTGGCAGTGAAACACGAAAGCAGCGACGTGTTGGAGCCTTTAGTCACTGTGGAGTCTCCTGTGCCTGATACACAGGTAAGAAGTCTATTGATGTTGTTGTGGGGTGCGTAGGGACCCCACTGCCTGAGATATCAGCCAGACTGGCAGTGATACACGAAAGCAGCGACGTGTTGGAGCCTTTAGTCACTGTGGAGTCTCCTGTGCCTGATACGCAAATAAGATATCTATTAATGCGTTTATTGATATTGTGGTGGGGTGCATAGGGACCCCATTGCCTGAATATCAGCAAGACTGGCAGTGAAACATGAAAGCAGCGACGTGTTGGAGCCTTAAGTCACTGTTGAGTCTCCTGTGCCTGATACGCAAGTAAGATGTCTATTAATGCATTTATGGATATTGTGGTGGGGTGCATAGGGACCCCATTGCCTGAATATCGGCTAGACTGGCAGTGAAACATGAAAGCAGCGACGTGTTGGAGCCTTTAGTCACTGTGGAGTCTCCAGTGTCTGATACACAGGTAAGATGTCGTGGTGGGGTGCGTAGAGACCCCACTGCCGGGGATATCGGCTAGACTGGCAGTGAAACACGAAAGCAGCGACGTGTTGGAGACCTTAGTCACTGTGGAGTCCCCAGTGCCTGATACACAGGTAAGATGTCGTGGTGGGGTGCGTAGGGACCCCACTGCCTGGGATATCAGCCAGGCTGGCAGTGAAACACGAAAGCAGCGACGTGTTGGAGCCTTTAGTCACTGTGGAGTCCCCTGTGCCTGATACGCAGGTATGATGTCGTGGTGGGGTGCGTAGGGACCCCATTGCCTGAATATCGGCTAGACTGGCAGTGAAACACGAAAGCAGCGACATGTTGGAGCCTTTAGTCACTGTGGAGTCTCCTGTGCCTGATACGCAAGTAAGAAGTCTATTGATGTTGTTGTGGGGTGCGTAGGAACCCCACTGCCGGGGATATGAGTAAGGCTGGCCACCAAACATGAAGGCAGCGACGTGTTGGAGCCCTTAGTCACTGTGGAGTCTCCTGTGCCTGATACGCAAGTAAGATGTCTATTAATGCATTTATTGATATTGTGGTGGGGTGCATAGGGACCCTACTGCCGGGATATCAGCCAAGCTGGTAGTGAAACATGAAAGCAGCGACGTGTTGGAGCCTTTAGTCACTGTGGAGACCCCAGTGCCTGATACACAGGTAAGATGTGTGTTAATATAGTGATGGGGTGTGTTAACACCCCACTGCCAGGAATATCGGCCAGGCTAGCAGTGAAACATGAAAGCAGCGACGTTTTGGAGCCTTTAGTCACTGTGGAGTCTCCTGTGCCTGATACACAGGTAAGATGCGTATTATTGTAGTGGCGGGGTGCGTTAACACCCCACTGCCAGGAATATCAGCAAGACTGGCCACCAAACATGAAAGCAGCGACGTGTTGGAGCCTTTAGTCAATGTGGAGTCCCAAGTGCCTTACGCCTAGCCTTACTAGTGTAACACAACAGCATATTATTATACTTGAACATTTCGACTGGTTCATTCAGTGTCTTAGTAGCTCAGATGGAAGAGCATTCGCCCGGCAAGCAAAAGGTCGTGGGCTCGTTTCTCGCCTTAGGCAGTTAGTTTTTTTTTCAAGGTATTTACAATTTTTATATGTTAAACCACTATCTGAAGACCTTATAATCCTTCCAGATATCTCTAGAGCTTCTCGGCCTAGCCGCAAGGGATCCCGAGCAAGAATGGAAACAGCCCACCGTCACCATACACAAACAGAACGACAGCGGCGGCTACCAAGGAGAACTGTTACTGAAAGGGCCTGGGGTGTTCACCAGGTGTGTATAATACAGCCTATTGGTATACACTTCTTTGTATTAATGGACAGTTGTCACCTTTCGTCCAGTCGCTGACATAGCCCAACGGATTAGTAAGCTGAAATGACAGTGGGCAGGGCATATAATACGCAGAACTGACGGCCGACGGGGAAGCAAGGTTCTGGAGTGGAGGCCACGTACCGGAAAGCGTAGCGTGGGACGTCCACCCACAAGGTGGACCGACGACCTCATAAAGATAGCGGGAAGGCGTTGGATTGGATGCAGGCCGCCACCAACCGGCCATTGTGGAAATCATTGGGGGAGGCCTATGTTCAGCAGTGGACGTCCTATGGCTGAAATGATGATGATAATGATCATGTCACCTTTAGCCGATATCCGATTTTATTTCTATTGCTTTACTCTCTTGTATGGTTAAAGCTCATAGCAGTAAGTTTCGTCCACGAAGACGACCAATCCGAGCGTCATCATTGTAGTTTGCGCGCGCACTCACGGATAACTATCCAAATACCCCAATTTTGGTTGTGCCCGACAGGGTCTACTATACTGTTCTATATTATTTTGAACATCCTACTTAACGCGTGGAATAGCAATAAAGAATTTAATTTGAAATGGTCTTTGAAGATTGTGCTTTGTAATATTTGGTAAATATATCGTATCAGATACCTGAACCGCGCGCCAAAGCTGGACAACTCCGACTTCACATCGGACGGCTGGTTCCGCACGGGCGATACGGCCATGTTCGCGGACGGACGCTTCCGCATCCTCGGACGCACCTCCATCGACATCATCAAGAGCGGCGGGTACAAGGTACGTAATATACGCGGCTTGGATTTTCAGATTGAGCCAGACTTCCGTATTCACAAACATTACTATGAGTACATAATGATAGTTAAATTGTAATATCTCTGCATCGATACCATGGGATTCAATTTGAATGCAAAAAAACTAATGTTATTCTACACTCAACATCAAATAAACCGCACCTTCCGCGACGCGAATTTTAAAGTATTTCTTCTGACACAATCATGGTACCCCAACAATATTGGTGTTATTTGAAAGCCCAATAAATATCCTTAAAGAAAAATACATTTGATTTCTAAATAAATGATTAACATATACCATAAATGTGACTTGAAAATAGACCTCACTTTGGGCTTACCTCTGGGATCAATTAGACCAATTTTTATGGTTATAAAACCAAATAAAGATTTCACGTATCCTCTTTAACAGATGGATAGCGATTAATCCCAACTTAACAGTTTTATAGTCATAAAAAATGGCTATAGCGTAACTACCTATTTTTTGAAGAAGTGACTCTGGATCCTTGTATAGACACATTTTTGGGGTAAAAACCTTTCCTTTAATGAAATGAAGTTTAGAACTAGGCTTTCAAATGGTACCAATGGTGGGAAATGGGGATGCATACGTTTGATAAGTGCTTGTCGCGAGAGGTGCGATTTATTTGATGCCGAGTGTATAAAAAATGTTTGAGATTGTATTCTGTTATTTTACCTATAAATAAACAAATAAATGAGGTCTCGTGCGTGGACGCACAGGTTCACACACGAACCAATCACAGAACTCTATTCAACGCTGTGCGTTCGATTTGCCGCTTCACTTAAGCAATCATCGTTTGTGAATCGCTTGCATAAAAGTAGCAGGAAGGCGCTGGATGCAAGCCGCTACCAACCGGGCGATGTGGAAATCGTTGGGAGAGGCTTATGTTCGGCAGTGGATGTCCTGTAGCTGAAATGATGATGATGATGATGAGTGAGCCTTATATGTGTGGTGACTCGCTACAGTAATAAATAAACAGAATAAAATACGAACAGTAGTTCGTTTTTTTAAAGTTTTGATAGACACACACAAGTAAAGCTCACTCGCCCTCGTGAGTTGCAAGAACTATACATTCATAGGTGACTGAGTTTCTTCCGCCACTTCTTCTCAACACCAGCCCATATGTTGTCCCGAAGTGGTGGTAGGGCAAGCTATATTTGGGACGTGTATAAGTGTCCTCGAAAGGGCCTATTATGTACTGAATAAACTATTTGTATTAGAAACTTACCACGAGTTTACATTAAACGTCATCGCTAGGCAGTGCGTTAAAAAAATCTATGAAGATTTTAGTTCTTGAAAGTAACCGCTAGGGGCGCTGTACATGCATTTCATAACATTTTTTTACCCAGTCGCTAGCGAACACACAACACTTCATAACTCTGTTGAAGAATATTCGATCTTCATATTCATCGTACATACATAATATACACGTACTTTATCTTCCAGATAAGCGCTTTACAAGTGGAGTCAGCCATCTTAGAGCACCCAAGCGTGGCCGACGCAGCAGTGGTAGGCATCGAAGACGACAGCTACGGCGAAATAGTGGCTTGCCTAGTAGTTTTGAAGGACAAATCAAAACTCACCCTTAAAGAATTAAAAGACGAGGCCGGCAAGAAACTAGCTCCGTACCAGCTGCCGAAAACTATGCTCATAGTCGAACAAATGCCGAGGAATGTGATGGGGAAGTTGGATAAGAAAGATATTAAGAAAAGGTACGGGAAGGAGCTCGCTTTGAAGAAGTAAGGTAAGGTTTAAAACTTCCTAAAGGCGTAAGTACAGTCACGGAATGAAAAGGTTCGTCAGTTTTCAAATTGATTCCTTCAACGAATCGCGAGCACATATTACCTTTTGAAACTATGTTACAGAATAATCTCGAGTTAGAGAAAATAATCTTTAACTGTTCGTCAGTAAAGTTCAAAATTATTCAGATCAAAGTTGTTTGACGATTTATCTTGTCAAGAAGATTATTATGATTGATGAACTAATACCTTCTTGTGGGTTCAACCTGCCATTATTATTTCTAATAAATAAAAAAAACTAGGTATTGTCAATTGGTCAATGTCATCATTGCATTGCACTGATGGGATAGAAAAATAAACAAGCAAAACCTTATTCGTTAGCAAACGTCATATTTATTTAAATGTTAGCAGCACTGTTTCTTGCACTGTTATGTTGGCAGGTTTGACACAGTACCTAGTGCAAGCGAAAACCGACACTAAGGTGACGAACCTTTTCATTCCGCGACTGTACATTTTGATGAAAATTTACCTAGACGAAGCGCTATAACAGCGAAGTATGTGGGTGACACACTATTACGTCTCGGCCAGTTTTAATTTCGCAACTCGGCTGCGAACTGAATCCGAATATTATTTAAAAAATGCGAAATTATATTATAAATTGACTCAAAAGTTACCAAAACTATTTTTAAATACTCCTTTGCGTTACCTTTAATATCGGGTGAAATGAGATTTTTCATATTCATGTCACAAAAACAACTCCTCTAAAATGATCAAAAACTTACTCAAGCCAAACTGAAATTTATTGTTGCTGGTTTTCGGTGAAACATAATAAGTTATTAGTGGATTGTATATCCCACTTGTGTTATGCTATTCTTGTAATTTGGGATGTGGTAATTTCCTAAATCGCCTTTATTGGGGCAAACTTAAAATAATCGGTGTGTATTTGTGAGTATATTTTTCAATACCACTCGAGCACTTAAACTATGTGTCTATAATCTTTGTTATTGATAATGTTATGTTAAAACCTATTATTAATTTAAAACTTTCGCGTTGCATAATTTAATTAATTTAGACACGTTTTTTTTAAGTGTTTCTCGTAAAAACCTATTTCAATTAATTCAAACCTATTATTAGAACGAAACGTGTATGCAATATTTATTTACTGAATTTTTTATTGTGATTAAATTCTAGTCTGTGAGAATCGCGATTTTGAATCGTCATGGGACTACACATTTTGTTGCAAAAATACATCTGAATAAGACATCATAGTATTTACGAGTAACTTATTGTCTGTAAATTCAGTGCAACGTTTGACTCCCAAGACTCTAAAAACAAGTAAGATATACAAAATACCGCTGATTTATTTCCTTAAATTTAATATCGTTAAGTATTTTAAGCTTCAACCACACCAACGCGTGCTGATCGCCATCGCCGGCGCAATCACGGCGCGATCATAGGCCAGTGACAGGTCGCGCGGACTGTCATGGGTCGCGCAGACTGTCATGGGTCGCGCGGACTGTCATGGGTCGCGCGGACTGTCATGGGTCGCGCGGACTGTCATGGGTCGCGCGGACNTTTTAAGCTTCAACCACACCAACGCGTGCTGATCGCCATCGCCGGCGCAATCACGGCGCGATCATAGGCCAGTGACAGGTCGCGCGGACTGTCATGGGTCGCGCAGACTGTCATGGGTCGCGCGGACTGTCATGGGTCGCGCGGACTGTCATGGGTCGCGCGGACTGTCATGGGTCGCGCGGACTGTCATGGGTCGCGCGACCTGTCATTGGCCTATGATCGCGCCGGCGATGGCGATCTGCACGCGTTGGTGTGGTTGAAGCTTCACATAGTAATAATACACTCGACAGCAAATAAATCGCACCACCCGCGACGCGAACTTTAAAGATTTTCTTTTAATACAATAATGGTGCCCCAACAATATTGGTGTTATTTGAAAGCCCAATAAATATCCTTAAAGAAAAACACATTTAATTTCTTAATAAATGATTAACATATTACCATAAATGTGACTTGAAAAAAGACCTCACTTTGGGCTCACCTCTGGGATCAATTAGACCAAATTTTATGGTTATAAAACCAAATAATGATCACACGTGTCCTCTTTAACAGATGGATAGCGATTAATCCCAACTTAACAGTTTTATAGCCATAAAAGTTGGCTCAAGCGTAACTATCTATTTTTTGAAGAAGTGACTCTGGATCCTTCTTAAGAAACATTTTTGTGGTAAAAACCTTTCCTATAATGAAATGAAGTTTAGAACTAGGCTTTTGAATGGTACCAATATTGGTGTGAAGTAGGGATGCATACGTTTGAAAGTGCTTGTCGCGGGTGGTGCGATTTATTTGCTGTCGAGTATATATTCTTGTTCAAAATTTTAAACAGTTTTGAAAGAAGTCATACTCAAGAGCACAAATACTACCACCCGCGACGCGAACTTTAAAGATTTTCTTTTAATACAATAATGGTGCCCCAACAATATTGGTGTTATTTGAAAGCCCAATAAATATCCTTAAAGAAAAACACATTTAATTTCTTAATAAATGATTAACATATTACCATAAATGTGACTTGAAAAAAGACCTCACTTTGGGCTCACCTCTGGGATCAATTAGACCAAATTTTATGGTTATAAAACCAAATAATGATCACACGTGTCCTCTTTAACAGATGGATAGCGATTAATCCCAACTTAACAGTTTTATAGCCATAAAAGTTGGCTCAAGCGTAACTATCTATTTTTTGAAGAAGTGACTCTGGATCCTTCTTAAGAAACATTTTTGTGGTAAAAACCTTTCCTATAATGAAATGAAGTTTAGAACTAGGCTTTTGAATGGTACCAATATTGGTGTGAAGTAGGGATGCATACGTTTGAAAGTGCTTGTCGCGGGTGGTGCGATTTATTTGCTGTCGAGTATATATTCTTGTTCAAAATTTTAAACAGTTTTGAAAGAAGTCATACTCAAGAGCACAAATACTTTAATAAGAACAAATTAATTATTTTGTTTGTGAATAAGTACAATTTTATAAATGACATGTCAAGTATTTTATATCGAATGTATGCATTTAATTTTGTTAGGATTTAGTTATTTATTTAATTTTAAATATTACCTGTTTACCTACTTTTTATTTGTTGTACAAAGAGCACAAGAGCAAGAGAAATACGTTTATTTTAAAAAAAGTGCAATGCCTTACTATATTATATTTAGGGGCCGCTTTTTCTACCGTCTGTTAACTTTTAACTATATAATGTTAGACATTTTGATAGATTTTGTATAGAAATTGTGTCAAATAGTTTAAAAGTTAACTGGACATTGAAATGTCGGTCTTAAGTAAATTTGAAGACTGCTTCTATGTGTAAATATGTAATGTAGACTGCCATATTCACGTAGATTTAGATTATGTACATAGTACATGGAAATAATGTTACATCGAACAAAATATTTTTAATTTAATGTGCATGTAGGTATGTACTTACAAAAATTCTTGTGATCCAAAATAATTTCAAATGAATGAAATTATACATTATTGTATAGTTTCAACTTTTGTATAAGTTTATGAAAAGGTTAGTTCCTAATAAAAAACATGTATGCGCTTTAAAGTCATAATGTATGTTAGTTGTTAATTTTATCAATAAAAATAGTTGAAAATTACAAATAGCTTTTATTTAAATTTAATAGATACTAGTGACAAGGAACACTTATAGGGACACCCTGTATAAGGTATATCAAGGACACTGTACATGGCAGTAAAATAACTTCAAACAAATGACGTTCTAATGCCCCAAAAATTAAGGACATATTCCATCGACACGCAGTGACGTCTTAATTTTTGTTCTAATATGCACTGTATGCGTACGACCAGGCCTGTTCATCTCCGCGAGTTTACATCGAAAACAAAACACGCACGATGGCCCACCTACAGGATACTATTCGACAAGGCCTCACATACGAGCGAACATTGACTCACGCACGCGTATTCTTGTGTATGATGGAAAAAAATAAAGAAAATGGTGTACTAAATACTGTGCAGTATTTAACTGCCTAAATAATAATAAAAACACAGAATGTACTTTTTTAAGTTGCCTGAAGACACTGAGAGGTAAATAAGTAGTTAATATTATTCATGATAATTCATGCTAAATCATGTATTTCCTCCGCCATTTTCTGCAGATTGGCACCTCACGTCACATCATTTTACCGAAGTCAGCCCTATAGCTTCGGCGCAGTACCGATCACTGACGTTTGTCAACAAAACTTCTGACAAAACTTGCTTGACTCTTGAGACAAGCTAAATTACACCATATTGCTAATGACATTGAGCATACATTTTTTTAAATACCTTCGCGAAGTAAAACTTCTGTACGTAGTACTTATTATTATTCTGTGGTACGACATACAAACCGGTCGAGTTAACTGCGCACGTGGCAGCCGTGACGTCACATCGACGCTCTGGTTCGGGCGGGGCGAACGCGAGGAGGTGTGTGGATAAGTGGGAGGGAGAATCGCATTCCAGCGAGGTGTGCAGTTAGCTCCACTACTACCGACTATTCGACTTAATCCTACTTATTCATTTATTTATTTTATTGTGGAAAACGCAAGACCTGAGCCCCGATTACGGTAATTTTTAACGTCTCCAATCCAGACGCGCTTCTTCGATTCTGCGATACGATTGGTCAAAACAGCGTACGTCAGCTGTTCGCAGAATCGAAGAAACGAATCGTATCGCAGAATCGAAGAAGCGCGTCTGGATTGAAGACGTTAAAAATTACCGTAATCGGGGCTCTGCATGTCATCTGAAAAGTGATTATGGATGCACGTTTTCTAAAATTTACACGTTAATCAACCAGAATTCGTCACTTGTCTATTTTCCAACTACCCTAATATCACGTAGGCTGAGTTACAGTCAGAAAACTCCTCGCGGCTATCGTAGCGTTGACCAAACATGGCGGCGAGAACGTAGCATACGTAATCGTGTCGGACCAACTCGAGTACGTCGCGACTATAGTCGCTGCCATTCCCATAAGCATTACCACAATAGCCAGCAGTACGTCGTACCACTGTATGGTATAATCTTCGACCTCC